TGGTAAAGTGAGAGATTTTTGTAGAAATAGATTTTTTAGTAATCATTCCAGTGTAACTGTTAGGGAACCCTCCATTGCAGATCCTCAGCTTTCCACACAGCTCACCAGCCACTCTTCATAAATGCCTCACTGCGATATTTTGCAGGTTGGTATGCAGCTCACTCCTCTGCATTACCCACAGTTCTCTGAATTATTTTATTTTGCAGTTCTTCCCATATGGAGATGCTTCAAAGTTTGCCCAGCACGCCTTCCGAACCTTTGATAAAAACGGAGATGGGACCATCGACTTCAGAGAGTTCATTTGTGCCCTGTCCATCACCTCTCGGGGCAGTTTTGAGCAAAAGCTGAACTGGGCCTTCAACATGTATGACCTGGATGGTGATGGTAAAATTACAAGAGTGGAAATGCTGGAAATTATAGAGGTGAGATCAATATGACACTCAAAAATAACATGTCAGAACATCAATAAAATTTGATTCCTTGTTCATACAGACTTCAGATGTTACACCAGAGGCTGTTGTCATTAAAAGCACACATGGCACACATTCATCCTACTCTAACTCATGCCGAAGTGGCAAAAGCACTAACATATTAAAAGATGTAATCTTGGAGAATTGCAGAGAGTACATATGTGCATATAAGCTTTTAAATATCAAGAGATTTTTTCCTAATGAATGGATTAACCACAAGAACTGCCCAGCACAGGATTTAGAAAGCCCATCTCAAAGTCACTTGACACCCATGAAATTACTGAATTGTAGCTCAAGTAGCTGAAACCCTACCAGAGATTAACTTCAGATGATTACAGAAATTTACAGGGATAACAACACGCTATTTTAAGTGAGCTCTCACAGATGGGCTTTAAGATGACCACAACACGTAAGAGGAAGGATAAAGTTTACCGCCTTCATCATCTGCCATCTACTTGCCACAGTAGTTAATACCAGATTGTGGCCACATGTACACACAGAAACCTATTAGGTGATTACTTCTAAAATTCATTATTCAAAATTTATGTGAAATACTTCAACTAAGCACTTGACCCAGAGAATAAGTTACAAGAATAAGCACTGTGAAACAGTAAGTGACAGAAATTCATTCCAGGATGCAAAATGTAACTACCAAAATAAACCTACATCTAAGGAAAGTAAAATATATTCTGTCTTGTTTTAAGTATCTGGACATTGGATCCTAAGAAAAAAAGGAAAAAATATTTCGAGAAACTGGCAATCATTTTATTGTTAGAATAGATTTCCAGAATTTGATCACAGCAAAAAATTAGATTGAATTTTATATTAAATTTTACGTTTGGTTTCTTTCCAAAGGCCATCTACAAAATGGTGGGCACTGTGATAATGATGAAGATGAATGAGGATGGTCTGACGCCTGAGCAACGGGTAGACAAGATCTTCAGTAAGATGGATAAGAACAAAGACGATCAGATCACACTGGATGAATTCAAAGAAGCTGCAAAGAGTGATCCGTCCATTGTATTACTCCTGCAGTGTGACATTCAAAAATGAGCTTGTGTACAACGCGTCATAGACTGCACAGAAGTTTAATGTTCCATTCAGTTTGCAGCTATTTCCACACACACAAAAATTTGCTTGGACTACCTATAAATGGACTTGCTTCTTGTGTTTGAAACACTTGTGTGCATGAGAATGTCATTTGCTAAAGAATTTTAAAAGTATATATTATAAAAATAAACTGCCACAACGTGATGTGTGCAATGTCATTTCATAACAACCCTCTTCCTCTGAAGCCTGTGCAGCAGGCCTGTGCTGCAGTGAATTATATTATTTATTGTTCATGTTTTACTGATGCTAGCTCTGTGTCTCCTAGACTGAGTAATGTTAGTGACACTGAATTCCCATGGCAATGTTAACTGTTTATTATAAATCATGTCACCATTCTGCTGTAAAGTAGTACTGGACAGACAGAGGGGAGAGCTCTTCGGCTCCCGAGTCTGATCCACACGTGCTTGTATTGTCAGTGGATATAAATGTACTTCATTTGCATGCCTTTTAGGTTTGCCTTAATTCTTACCTCATTTGCATCCCTTCAATCTGGAAAGAGCTATGTCAGAGGAATGCAGTATATTTAAAAAAAAAAAAAAAAAAAAAAAGAAAATCCTGCTAAAATTATCCCTTTAATTAAGAATATATAAAATATATATATATAATGTTTAAAATATTGTTTTATTGCAAGTTTAAAGGTTTTATTGGAAGTGTATTGATCTTTGCCAGAATTTTCAAAAGCTTCCACAGAGGTTGCAATATATATGTCCCAAAATAAATTTATAACATTTGATCTTTTCCCCTAATTCTTATTTCATGTCTTCAGCATGGTAATAAAAAAAAAAAAAGTTCAATCTCTTTAATTATCTGTCAGTGTACACTGGGAAATATATATTTCATTATGAAAGCATGAAGAAAGATACTTTGCACTCACTCACTAGAAGATTCGTATTATATGAAACCAAACGTTGTAGGTTCTTGTATTTACCAACAGAGCAGCTGTTGGTGCTCTAAGATGTTACTGCTAAGATCTAACAGCACACCTACTAGACTTGTGCTGATGTAGCTTTTTAAATTAGCTGCAAGTTAAATACAGTTTATTGCTTGGTCTAAACCTGTTTTTTAAATGTTTTTCCTTCCTGAAGTAAGAGTCTTTCCTCTTACTGTATGATACTAAACTACTTTGGGTTTAATATAGAAAGACATGTTAAAAATCATTACTGACAAATGAACCATAAAGTATGATGATAAAGGAGGGACAGTGAGGAGAACCATCTTCTTCCTCACTTCTGTGTGCACAAATCAAGTTTCCCTCTATCCTGTGACAAGTGTAAGTTCTGCACAGCCCTGGGAAAGAAGTGAGAACTATCAGACTGCAGCAACTGCAAATAAAAACTTTCCTATGCCCCATTTCCCTGGTGCTCTAAACAGTTGGTTGCTTGCTGGATTAAAACAAAAAAAATCAACAATCTGAACATCTTACAATTGCATGTTTGCTATTTCTTCTTTACCTTATGAAGAAACGAGAAGTTATTCTTAATAGATAAAAATCAAAAAATAAAACATGACACAAACCAAATCATTCTCTGTATTTTCAAATGTAAAAAGTGAAGCTCATCTTAAAACTAAAGGGAAAAGAAAGCAAGCAAAAAAAAAAAATGGTTTTACACAGCTCTCTAAGAAACATTGCTGGGGGGAGCACAGAATCAATTGCTGCCACAACCACAGCCATTCTTTCATCTTTTCAGTTTCTTCATATTCCAAACAAACAGCAAATGGCAGAAGTTTCAACTACATTTTCTAATACCAGAATTTCACTTAGACTACACAGATAATAGTCTTAGCTAACTAGAGAATGGTATACTTTATGTATTTGGCTATAACTTAAAAATAAAAGACACATTCTGAAAATTACATACTTTTGAGAATGATGTGCCCACACCAAATACATCTCGGCATTTATGCCTCTGGTTTACATATACTTATTAGAGGAGCAGTACCTCATTCTACATTTCTCTGCATCTTGAATTTATGTAGCTGGACAGGATCCATTTACTTTAGTGCAGCATTAAGCAATGCATTGCCATCCAAAATGGTCAACACCTCAAAAATGTAGTCAAACTCAACAACGTAACATCTCTCTATGTAGCCAAACAAGTAAACTCTGTATTTAAAGTACCAAGAATATGATAGTTTTGAGACCTTAGTAGGATTGCTACCAAAATAAGAGCATCCATGCCAGTGCTTCAATATTTTTTTATTCAGAACTAATCCTCTACCATGAAAACAATTGCCTTTAATAATTATACAGTCAGGTACATCAAGTACATCAAGTACAGTGGCAGATTAGAATAAATACAATATACTGATATGAACCAAAGACCAGAATTGATGCCAACTGCTCTAACATTTCAAGTAAGTCTATAAAAAACTTGGGAGAAAGCTGAAGTGTTAGTTCAATGAGAATGCACTAACTTTCCTTAAGCTCTCTTTTCCACAGAACTCATTATGGAAGTACTAATCAAGATAAATGCTTTACTCTTTCCTGCTTCTGCACTCTTGCATTTTTTTTTTTTTTTAGGGGATGCTGAATAAAATCAGGAGGAAATAATGCTATGCCATTCTATCACCTCATACTGTAAAAGGGTCTGAAGCATACTCTGGTTCCATAGATTCATAGACTGGTTTGGGTTTGAAGGGACCTTAAAGATAATCCAGTTCTACCCTCTGCCATGGGCAGGGACACATTCCACTAAACCAAGCTGCTCAGTTTCAGTCTGGTCTTGAACACTTCCAGGGATTGGGCATCCACAACTTCTCTGGGCAACCTGTTCCTGTGCCTCACCACCCTCCCAGTAAAGATTTTCTTCCTAATATCTAATCTAAATCTACTTTATTTCAGCTTAAAGCCACTCCCCCTTGTCCAGTCACTACATGCCCTTGTAAAAAGTCCCTCTCTAGTTCTCTGGTAGCCCCTTTAGGTACTGGAAGGTGCTATAAGGTCTCTCTGGAGTCTTCTCCAGGCTGAACAACCCCAGCTCTCAGCCAGTCTTCATAGGAGAAATGCTCCAGCACTATGATCAACTTAGTGGTTCTTCACCAGCTCTCATTCCAACTGGTCAATTCCACCTGGTCTTTCCTGTGTTGGGAATCCCAGACTTGGACACACTACTCCAGGCAGGATCACAAAGGCAGAGTAGAGGATTAGATTCACCTGCTGACTTGCTGGTTCCAGACAAGTTTTGGCAAGTATGCACTTTTCCTGGTACTCCCCCTTGCCCCACACAGTATTTTCACATAATCCTAAAGGTGCAAATACCTTTAATTATGGAGTTATGGAATTGTTCAATTTGATAGGGACCTTCAGAGATCTTTTGCCTAACTCCCTGCCTGAAGCAGGTACAAGAGTCTATTCAGACTCCAAAAGCCTCCAAGGATGGAGATTTTACATCCTGTTAGGGTAACATGCTCAAATGCCTCTTTATCTTCATCATGAACAATCTCTCCTGGTTTACTCAGCCACCTGGTCTACTGACACCTGACAGGATGCATCTGTCTCAGAGGGGGAAAAGAGCTCACAGGGCTTTAAATTAGTTTGGAAGGAGGAAAGGGAAAATACCAGGCTTGCCAGTGATGAACCAGTGCCAAAATTTGAGGAAATGAGCACTAATGGAATCCCTCAATCTGCCTCAAGAGGTGTTGGCTACAATGTACCACTCCTGAAATGTTTCTACACCAAAGCACACAGCATGAGGAATAAACAAATGATCTCAGAGCTTTGGCCCAGTCCCAGAGATTTGACATCACTGGCGTAAGTGAAACCTGATGGGATGAGACCTGTGACTGGAGTGCCCTGTTGGAAGGTTACAGACTCTTTTGGAGGGATAGGCAGGGCAGAGGAGGCAGAGTTACACTGTATGTAATGGAAGGGTTAGACTGTGTGGAGCTCACAGTTGGCAATGGCACAGCTGAGAGTCTCTGGGTAAGAAGCAAGGGGCAAACAAATAATGTTTGAAACAAAAAAGGTTTCATTGTGGGAGTTTCTACAGACCTCCCAGCCAGGACAGTGATGCCAATGAATTATTCTTTGAGGAACTAAGGAACAATTCCAAGTCAACTGCCCTTGTCCTTATGGACTTCTTCAACTTGGCAGAAATCAACTGGGAACATCACACTGCTGGTACAGCCTGGGCCAAAAGATTCCTAAAAAACCTGGATGACAACTTTTTGGAATAGGTCCTAAGAAGCCAACTTGGAAAAAGGCCCTCCTCGATCTGCTGCTTGTCAACAGAGCGGATCTCATGAGCAAAGTGGAGACTGGAGGCCTCTTGGCCACACTGACCGTGAAGTGATCGAGTTAAAAATCTCTGTTAACAGAAGGAAAAGTGCCAGCAAAACCTCAAGTCTGGCCACAATGAGAGCAGACTTCAGGCTGCTCAAGGAATTAGTAAGTAAAGTCCCCTGTGAGGAGGCAATTCTCAAATGCTGGAAGTCAAGCAGGTGAGGCAGAAGGCTGGCTTGGCTGAGCAGGGATCTTCCCTTGGAAATAAGGCAAAGTAGGAAGGTATATACCCAGTGGAAGCAAGGTCAAGTGACATAGAAAGAATGCAGAGATTCTGCTTGACACGGTAGGGAGAAGATCTGTGCAGCCAAAGCTGAACTGGAGTTGAAGCTGCCAGAAATGTGGGGGACAATAAAAGATATTAATGGCAAAAGTCAGTGTAGAAATAGCACTGGTCCATTACAGGATGAGGATGGTCAACTCAAACAGAGACAGAGACAAGGCAGAGGTGTTTGAGGCTTTCTTTGCCTCTGTCTTCAACATGGATGACGGACCAAGGGGGGTCTCAATGGCTGGGCTGGAGGACAATGACTGTGAGAATGATCAGCTCCCAGTTGATCCTGAAATTGTCCAGGATCTGCTGCTCCAGCTGGATTCCTACAAATCTATGGGGCCTGATGGGATTCATCTGAGAATCTGCAAAGAGGATGTCATCACAAAACCTCTCTTGATAATTATTTTTGAGGGGTCCTGGGAATCTGGGGAGGTCCCAGCTGACAGGAAGCGAGCAAACGTTGTCCCAGTTTTCAAGAAGGGCAAGAAGCAGGATCCCAGAAACTACAGGCCTGTCAGTCTCACTTCCAGTGCCTGGTAAAATCATGGAAAAGATTATTCTGGGAGGTATTGAGAAACACCTGAAAGACAATGCAGTCATGGGTCACAGCCAGCACAGCTTAACGAGAGGAAAGTCCTGCTTGTCAAACCTGATTTCCCTTTATGAAAACATAACCCACGTAGCTGATCAAGGGAGGCCAGCTGATGTCATCTTCTTGGATTTCAGTAAAGCTTTTGATACTATCTCTCACAAAATGTCCAGCACACAGCTGAATAACCGTGTGACCCAATAGGTGAACAACTGGGTCATGGGTCGGGCACAAAGAGTTACAGTGAATGGGGTGACATCAAACTGGTGACCTGTCACTAGTGGGGTTCCACAGGCCTCCATCCTCAGCCCAGTTCTCTTCAACATCTTCATTAATGACTTGGGCACAGGACTCAAAGGAACACTAATTAGGTTTGCTGATGACACTAAATTGGGAGATGTTGTTGACTCCCTTGTAGACACAGAGGCCCTGAAGAGAGACCTCGAAAAATTATAGAGGACTGGGCAATCACCAACCATATGAAGTTCAAAAATAGTGAGCGCCAGAACCTGCACTGAAACAGTGCAACCCTGGCTGTGTGTACGGACTGGGGAATGAGATGCTGGAAACCAGTGCCATGGGAAGGGACCTGGGGGTCCTGGTCAGTGGCCAGCTGAATATGAGTCAGCAGTGCCCTGGCAGCCAGGAGTGCCAACCGTATCCTGGGGGGCATCAGGCAAAGCATCCCCAGCTGGTCAAGGGAGGGGACTGTCCCGCTCTGCTCTGCAGCAGCCTCACCTTGAGTATTAAGTGCAAGTTGGGGTGCCACAACATAAAAAAAAGACATTAAGCTCTTAGAGAGCATCCAAAGGCTCTGGAGGGAAGCTGTACGAGGAGCAGCTGAGGCCACGTGCTCTGTTCAGCCTGGAGGAGACGGAGGGCAGACCTCACTGCAGTTACAACTTCCTCATGAGGGGAAGAGGAGGAGCAGGCACTGATCTCTTCTCTCTTGTGACCAGTAACAGGACTCAAGGAAACAACACAAAGCTGAGCCAGGAGAGGTTTAGGTTGGATATTAGAAAGAGGGTCTTCACCCAGAGGGTGGTTGAGCAGTGGAACAGGCTCCCCAGGGAAGTGGTGACAGCACCAAGCCTGTCTGAGTTCAAGAAGTATTTGGATAACACTCTCAGGCCCATGGTGTGATTCTCAGGGCTGTCCTGTGCAGGACCAGGAGTTGGATTCCATGATCCTGAGGGTTCAACTCAGCATATTTTATGATTTTATGATTCTATGAAGCGTATTTCCTTCAAGTCTTACCTAGCTTCCATATTTTAAAGAAACCTGTAAGTTTTAATACCTGCTTGTGTAAAAACTGAACAATATTAAAAAACACACAATACTGTGCAGCAACTGAAAACAAATTATGCTACAAAGTTGAGTTAAAATTTACACTACAATAAGGTTTTACTGAGGAACTGCTATTCAGTAAAAAACTGCAAAAACTGCAGAATATTGTTCTCTGAGAAGTCTTAATGGCTTTTGTATCCCCATAACATAAAAAAAAAAAAAAAAAAAGAAGAAGAAAAAAGTATGTCTAATAGCTGAACTCTATAAAATGTGGGTTTTTTTGAAGAGCTGCCAATAATTTCAAGTTCCTGGACAAAAAAAGAACAGGAGAGAAAAAAAGTTAATTTGGGGGAATTTGAAAAATCTGGTTCTTTTTTCTCTCTCTTATCCCCAATAAATGCTTGCAATATTTAAATAAATCAAGTTTATTTTAAGTGCTCTAGCACAGTCCCAGGAAGTGTGGGACTATGGGAAATACAGGTCTACAATGCTGTAGTAAAATTACTGTATTATTTCCCAGAATTCTTACTCTATTCCTCTATATTGGAAGGACTTGTCTCTATAGTTTGTTCTAATACAATGAACATCTAGAGACTTATTCTCCATCTGGAAACTCTGAGTGTACAAGAACTCAGTTTACTGGAATTAAGAATCTAAGTTTATAAAGCCACAGCTTGCTAGGTGTTGTAAGCTCACGTCCAAAAAAACTCAAACTCTTTAGGAAAAGAAAAAAAAGCACTTGTTTCCACTCCCAGAGAATATACTGTAAATAAATTTTTCCCTTCTCTACTTATGAAACCATAAGTACTAATAGTTTCTCATGTTCAGCTGCTGTGGTTCCAATGGAAAATCAATGAAACACATTATACTGCATGTATTAATTAGCACATGTTTAAGAAATAAAGCAGAACTAGGAAGAAACCAGTATTTTTAACCTAATGCTAATTCTAAATGTGTAGAGACATTAAAACATTACCACAAGTATCAGTTCAAACTGTTTATTAAAATATTACTCAATAGTTATACAAAATATATTTCAACTTTTCCAGAAGAAAAAACAGAACAACTGATAAAAAAATTCTATTAGTTGGTAGCTAAAAATATCAACTGAACATTCAAAATTTTCCCATTATACAAACTCTCTCTATTCTTGGTCTGTGAACACACAAAGTGAATTCTTTAAAAAATAATAATAACAATACAGAAACATCTTCCTGAGAGTATGTAACAAAACATCCCCTTCTTCAGCATCAGGAAGCAATAACTTTACAAATACTATTCCACATTTGTGCTCAACAGTATGCCATATTCACAAAGAGATACTTATTGATCTTCATCACGGCCTGTCTCATTTTGGAAATTCAATTGTCTTTGGCCTCTTTCAGGGTCTTGCAAGCAGAGGATTCGAATATGGGGAATCGTAGGCAGAGAACTAAAAATAAAGTATGCATCATTTAAACAGTGTTTCTTCTCCACAAATTTTAGTATTTCCATTTGATTCTTTCCATTACATATTTTCCTTTAAATAACTCCATCTTTTTAATTTGACAGTCTTAAAAAACAGCAACATGGGGTGAAATTCAGGTTTTACTGAACTGATACTGGACCCAGACTTCAGTAAAAGCTTGAGGTAAAGACAAGGACTGATTTCCATCATGTGATTTCTAACAATCAGACTACCTTAATTAGAGAAAAGGTACTTTTACAAAAAACCTCCAAATGAAACAGTGATGAAATGCAGTTTGTATTTCCCTTACAGATCCTTATAGGCACTATATACATGTGCAATCACTCGCATTATACTAAGAATGAGCAAAGTCACTAAATATACATTTACATAGGCTTCTACACTGATCATCCTAAATTATTTTTTCTTGAAGGTGCCTCCAGACGTCTGTTAAATTTAATATTTGCTGAAGATGCAACATGTAACAATGTAACAAAAGCAAACTGCACTTGATTTATTACTTTTAAAAAGTAACCATACAAAAAATTCCAGTATGTTTATTAATTTCAGAAAACCTCCACAAAAGCATTTCCACTGAAATAAAACCAGAATACTACTATCCTACTTTTTATATACTCTAGTGAGGGAAGACAATTAAAATAAATCAACTTCATTTTGAAGCCTGATTAATTATCCTCTTCAGGCTTCACTGGTTACATTGGGTTAATAGAGAGGAGCTGGCTGCACAGGGTCAGACAGTGGCTGTTCCCTTAAGCTGGGCATGGCTTTACCAGGGACTTATATGGAGGCTTTGGAACAATTCTGAGCTACTAGATCAAAAATTCAAAACATGGTGTAAGTTATGAGTCTCTAGATCAGCAATATTAAAACCCATAAAATGAAATAAACTCAAGTGACAAACACCTTGAAAGTGCTGTAGTATTAACAGAAAAAATGCTACGTCTTCTGTTAATTTCGGGAGGGGAGAGGGACATACAGGGCACTAAACGAGGAGGAGCCTGCTTGACAAAATAAAACATTTCAAATAGTTGTTTTACTTCAGATAAACTGATTCAAGTCCCACTGAATTATCATATTAACAGACATTACGCAAGGAAGAGTAAAAAAACCTATTAAATTCTGAGAACTATCAGCACTGAACTGCCTAATTGTTGATGTTCTATTGCTACAAACAGCAAAATTTATTTCTCTTCATATTTAATTTTTTCAAGTTACACTTCTTGCAAGACAACTTAGTAGTTCCTTGTAATTCTTGTACCATGAAACAAAACACAACAGTATTACCTTATGCTTTGGGGGGTGAACAAAATGAACTGTCGATACTGCTGAAAATCAGCCCTCTCCAGAATCATATCGATGGCAATTCTTCTGTTAAGCATGTCCTAAAGACAAAAGATTTATCAGGTAGTAATACTGACCACAGTAAATACATTAGAAAACATGATTCTAGGAAAACCTACCAGAATTAATTCCTATACAGTAAAGGTTTGCTAAAGAAAAGTCTGATAATATCTAAGCTGGAGAAACATTAGGGTTAAATTCTAAAACCTACAAATTATAGTCTGGGAAATTCTTAAACTGTACTTTTTAGTATCCATGGACAATGGAAAGTTTCTACCAGAATAATCACACACTCCTACTCACTGTTTTTCTATCAGTTTTGATATACATGTAATACTTCTTACTTTATTGCTATGCTGAGATGAAATGTATCTTAGTAGAATAATGTTTTCGCTAAAATTCTGCCTCAAAAATACCTGAAAGGATTTAAGGGCTGCATGAAACCCAAGCCATTCTGGAGCTTGTTTCTATTAGGATTATTACTGTTTTTATCATGTTTTGAACACAACCTTATGCATCAGGCTTTACTGAAAGAGATGCACAATAGGAAGCTGTTTTTAGCAGGGACTAAGAAAGCTTTGCTGCTGTAACCATTCCACATGAAACTAGGAATCTCCCTCCAAAATTCTTTATATATGAAGTATATTATCTTTTTTCTCCTCTAGTTCTGTAATTCCCAGTAAACAGGTGATTGACACAGAAGGCAAAATTAAATAATGCCGTGTCAACTCTCTGTCTCGTGGTAACAGTACAACTATTTCACTAATTTGTATAAATGAGAGTGGGAGATGTAGTTTAAGTTTAAAGTATACCATGTAGACATCAAATTCATCCAAGCATCGGAAAGGAGAGTCAGTGATGTTCCACAGAGAGAGAATGTAACAAACTGTAGAGAAGGTACGTTCACCTCCTGATAAGGATTTCAAATCAGTAAGGGAAGCTTTCTCTTCATCTCCAAACTGAACCTTGAAATAAAAATATTGCAGCGATTTTTAAACATGAGACAGAGACTTACTATCAGGAATCATAATTTTAACAGCAAACACATTATACATGAGCATATCACCTGAGAACAATTTTCTGCAAGTCACTCAACTGCCATTCTGGAATGGATGGCTCCTAACCATTTAATAACACATTTCTAGGATCACTGCAACTTCCTCTATCACAGTGAAATACAGACTGAATGACTCTGCCAGTGATTTCTTATTCAATTCTCTATTTCTGATAGCTGTTAAACAGTGGTTCATAAATGTTAACTAGTGTAGTTACATTACAGCTAAAATCCAGTTACCAGCTACAACAGAAAAGCAGGTAATTGATCTACAGTGGAATTTTAAAGGCAGAAGAGTTTCTTTACTGGAATGCATAGAACATTGAGAACAGCCCTTTGGTTGCATTGATTAGGATGACATCTTGTGGCACTCCTGTAATATAAAACGTAGGCGTTTTCTTGTCCTGTTAACTGCATTACCTTTAACAAGTTCAGCAGGAAAAATAGAATTATTTTGGAGTGGAATCTTTTTTTTTGGGGGGGGGGGAATTGTTTTCTTTTGCAATTTACCTTCCTTGACTAAATATAGACCTCTTGTCTGAGAAACATGAGACATTAGCTATTAAAAAATACATATTCTGATAAAGTCAGGTAATGACTTGATATTTTATGGACTGAGTTTGATTCTTCAGATACATGTGCTTCATTTGTTTAATTAGGACTGCAACAACACGTATTTATGTTGTCACTGCACAATTTTCACCTTAAGTCTCCCACAGAAACAAAAGTATATAAACCCACAACTTTTTGGGATGTCATGTTAAAAATACACAAGAAACCCCACAATATTGAAGCTTTAAGACAGTAAAAGTTGTTTAAATAACAACCAGAGCCACTACACAATCACATAAATAATGGTGAACCCCTATCAATGAAATAGGAATAAGCTATTTTGAAAGACTGACTAGAATGACTCACTAGTGAATTCTTCTCCTTGGCACAAGACAGCAATCTAAATTTATTTCCTGTAATCTAGCAACCCGCCCATTTAACACGGCAATGTTTTTTGTTCTTGCTTGTTTTCAACAGCATCCTACAGATTAGTGTATCACAATTTGGATATGGAAGAACAATTTATTCTATCCTTTGCAATACATGTCCTAGCATCTGAGACTAAAAAAATTAATAATTAATTACATATTATGATAATTGAAGCCATATAAAATAACTTACTGTTATGGAAAGTGTCTCGTTCTTGTGATCAAAAAGTATTTTTCCAGAGCAAGCTCGAACATGCAATAATCCCTCAAAGCTGCTTTTGCATCGTATAGAAAGGATACTTAAATCAAGCAAACAAACATTAGGTCAGCAAGTTTTAAAATACATGAAAAAGCAACAACAGATGTTTATCAACAATCCCACATCGTTAAATTTTAAGGCCTGCACCATTAATAACATTTTCCCCAAATCAGTTATGCTCTCAAGCGGGTGACATTCAATTCTGAACATCTGCAGAGAATCACTGACACAAAGTAAGGAGGTAAGAAATCCAGATGTACAGTTTTGTATTTTCTAGAATTTGTTTTAACAGACCAGAAGCTTTTTACAACATTTTTCCAGAACTTCAACATTCCACTGCTTCCCTATCCAGTACTACGACTGCACAGTAAGAAATTTACATGGCCTTTGGCAGATTCTGGGAATTAAAGAGCATTGTGTATTAATTTCTCTGCCCACCCCCTCAATTCTAGCACATTCTAGCCCAATAGACAACACGTGAGAGTTCCTCCAAGAAAGAACTATGGTTCTTTAACACATTGTAAGGTGTGTTTCATACTCAAACTTGGGCACTAGGACCAAGATTCAATTTGACATATGTGGGCACCATAAGGCAAGCATCAGATTCTGCAGGTAAATCTTGCGCACTACTATCTCTGTACTTCTATCTGCAAAGGTTGGGAGATTCTCCTCATCATCACTATTTGTCAGGATCATACTGGCACCTCCCCCAAATCCAGATCAAAAAGTACAAAAAAGCAGAGCCAACAAAGGTATCCCTCAATTTCTGCTGAAGGGAATGATAAATGATGAAGTGCTGCATTGGAAAACAGACCATCAATCCTTTTAAAGGGAGGACACCACAAAATCTTCATGGATATGTAGAGGATACTAAGGGACTGAAGCAAGAAAGAAGGGGTGCACTCCCAGTATGGAGAAGAAGCTGTCAAATTACAGAACCTGAATAGATATCTTCAAATTTTTCCAGCACATGGCAGAGGAAAAGTGCTTGGCCCACAATGAAATAATGTGAGCTCAGCACCAGTAATTATGATCAATAAAAATGAGTGATAGTCCAGATTATTTCAATTCTTGTACGTTGTTGATATTCTATTGACCAAAACTAGCACTCAGACGGAACTGCCATGGATGAAGTCAGCGCAGTTGAGGTCTTTGGTGGGAAGCAAAATACAGCTTCCATTAACAAACTACTTTTCCAGCTGTCAGTCCAGGCTTCCTCTAAACTGTCAGCAATGACAGGACTGAAACAGGGAGCAAGCTTAGGTTAAAAAGACCTCTTGTGAACACTGCCCTAAAGACAGTGTGTTCTCACTGGTCTGCTCTTTAATTTTCACCCCGGAATATGGGCACATCCTTAGATGTCAGTTTATCTGAAACCTGAAATTACAGTAAAATTAACTCACCGTAGGAATTGCTGATAAGCTTTGACTCTCTCTGCCATGATTCTTTCCAGCACCCTAAAAAATTTCTTTAAATTCTTTACTTTACTGCTTGCATCCTCATATCTTTCCTTTGCATCATGAAATTGCCTGTTTTGATTAAAAGAAAGTTTAGTTAACATGCATTACATTAAAAGTAAGCTATTGTTGTAAATGCAGAAAATCATTTTGATAATCAAAATATTCAAATGAAAACTCTTTTGCGAGGATTTATGTTAAATCTAAAAGCATTTGATGAGTCAAATAAGACACTTAGCAAATCAAAAATGGTCGAAAATTAAATCTTACTTCTATTTTTAATTCTTTTGACAATAAAGTCTTGCACCAAGGAGAATGAATGATTGGGTTCCCCATGCTAAAGAATATCTGAGGGGAGTGCTCCCTTGCAAGACACTGTATTCAAAACCTCAAGTAACTTTCTAACTTGTGCATTAGTTACTCAAATTATAAGTATGCTTAACACTCAATGCATCACAGAACAACGGTGAGTTATGTTTGTGTAATCATAACTGGGATATAGTCATATATCTAGTACAGATGCTGCTTAAAATCACTGGAGGGTTTTTCAGGACTCCTAAATTTGTTCAGTATTGGTTGACTGCGAATCAGTACAACACATTTCCGTATCTTCATACACAGCTTAAGTGCTAAAAACACACATAAATGCACAGTGAGTCACTAAGAAAGCTCTTTCTTCCTCTCTCTTTGCAATCTTACCTGAACAACTTTACACAGTTAAGATGACTTACTGTATTATTTCTTCTCTGTTTCCATGGAGACTAGTTTCTGATTTTATCTTCTCTCTCAGGCGATTCATTTCTGCATCAAGACTCTTAACAGTCCTGCTGACATGGATGCGCTCCGAGTAGATCTGCCTGGCTTGGGCTGTTTTTTCCTAAAGTAATGTTTGAAGCTCAGTTAATTAATAAATTTTTTAAAAATCTGTTTAGTTCTCACAACAAATATTTTAGGCTATGGAAAAACAAGGTCTCCAGGTAAGACAATGTTTTTGTGCTGTTCCTTGGGTATTCATCACAGCAAACCCAGTTAACAATTTTACTAACAATATTTTTAAGTAGGTAGTTATTTCAGTGCCAAGAACTGTATCCATCTGAGATTTTTAATATTATCACAGTTATTTAGCTAATACAGACAAATAAGGAATGAAAATCACCATAATTAAATAGGACAGTCTTCCAAAAGTCTTTGTGGATATGATTTCAGAGTTAGTTAATAAAGCTTAACTAAGCCTTCAAAAGATCAGATATGGGGTCTGTACAATGAAAAATTGAGCATCCAAGAAGCCAGAACAGCATTATTCAATTTAACTTAAAATGCAAATTTTAAGGTTAAGTTGTTTTTATCTTTTCATTGCAAAAGACAAGAAATAGTCCTAGATGGATAACCACTAGCCTATCTGTAAAGACAGAAATGCCGTCTGGCCAGAAAGAAAGAGGCTTCAATTTACTTACACAAAGTTACTTTTACTTGATTTTGACAGTCAGGCTAGGACACAGCTGAGAGAATACTCAGTGTAGCTGAGTATTAACATGGTCTGTATGTCATACAAGTGGAATAAGTTATTATTAAATTTTAGAAGGATCATGACCATCTGACTTTAATAAAGAAAAAAAAAAAACACATGTACCTCTAGTTCCTTTTCTTTGGCAGCCAGTAATTCTTTGTGCTTTCTGATGCAGGCCAAATGTTCTTTCTGTTTGTCTGCATAGTGCTGCAAATGGCGTTTACTGCTTTCCATTTCTGACTCAGCCTGGTTTAATTCATCCTGTTTGGAATAAATCACGATGAGAGCTGTTTGGGGTAGATTCCTGAGAATCTCTCCACATGTTTATGTACTTATCACAGGTTGTTTTTACCACGGTCTAATTGATTTTGCTTTCAGTAAGACTACTCCTTCTAGAGTCCAGGAGCTTTAACAGCAACTAATCAGAGAGTCTATACTCAATTCTGACAAGGACATAATAAATACATGCAATGATTTTAGGAATCATATCTGGAGGTGATGTTTTATTCTTTGAAAAAAGCCATCCTTTCTCCTAAAACTCAAAAATATAGATTTATTTTTTACACTACATTCTACCCAGAACTTCTGATGACTGTGTAATGACATCAGCCACAACTGTATTTCTGTGTGAAAATTCAGTCCTGCTATACCTGTAACATAAAGACATAGAATTATGGAATAGTTAAGCTTGAAAAAGACCTTTAAAATCATGAAGTCAAACCATCAACTCAGCACCACCAGCATAAATACCACTAAACCATGTCCTCCAGTGCAATTTCCATACATTTTTGAATGCTTCCAGGGATGGTGACTCCACCTGCCTGGGTGTTTCATTCCACTGTTTTACCATCCCTTCCATGAAAATTTTTTTCCTAATATCTAATCTAAACCTCCCCTCGTGCAATTTGAGGCCATTTTCTCTCATCCTGTCACTTGTTATCTGGGAGAAGGGACCGAGCCCCACCTCACTACAACCTCCTTTTAGGTAGCTGTAGAGTGGTAAGGTCCACCCAAGCCTCATTTTCTCCAGGTTAAACAATCCCAGTTCCCTCAGCTGCTCCTCACAGGAACTGTGCTCCAGACCCTTCACCAGCAACATCTATACTACATAAGTGTTGATACTGTTGAGGTGATATATCTTTCCAGAGAAGTAAAGAGGTACAAAGAATGAAAATTAACACATAATTTTCTTCCTCATCCCTGTCCACTAGATGGCTTAACAATCAAAAAAAAAAAAAACCCAAACCAAACGAAAAACTCCAATAAAAACCACCCCAGAAACCCCAAAACAACAAACAAGAAAACCAAACACCAACAACAATAACAGATGCTCTTACTTTTTTCAAATCCTACCTTAAAGCCACAACTTGCTATATGTCAACAGGTTATTAAACAATTGCAGAACACTTAACACATCTTTTCCCTTTCAGGAATTTTAGAGCTGCCCTCTGTTGTGTTCAGTCTTCCTAAATAACAAGCAATAATAATATTCTCATATTCTGAATAGATCTATTCTCTTTCCTTACACAGTGGTTCTTTTAAAATAGTTCATATCTACAGAAATTCCATACTAGATACATTAGAACATATTTATTCATTGCTTTCCTGACCTGTTTCCTTCCTCTTTTTGTTTGCCCTTGCTTTTTTAATTTGGGCCGACTACATAGTAATATATTTAAGTGAGAAATTTAAGAGATTAGGATAATGATCCTTCTAAGTTTTTCCTTATTCCATCCTTCTACAAATTTACAATACTGTAAATGTGATGGACTCTTATTTCTGTTTTTCATTTCCAAACCATTACTTCTTGCCAATATCACATTTTGCATGCCAACACTCTGCTATTTATCTTAAGTCTTGGTATTTCTCCGCCTTTTACATGTGCCTTCTGTGGTCTTGAATAATTAAAACTATGTACTGGTACCTTCTGGTATTATGCAACTTCATAAAATAACATCCAGTTCATACAGAACTTCAAATGCTATTTTGAAAATGTGATGGTTCGGACTTGGCTCCCTGCCAAATGCCCAAACCCCAGTAGCAGCCTCCCCCCCTTCCCCCTTCCTTCTTCCCCCAGAGCAAAGGAAAAAAATTATGTAAATTGAAGAACCCGAAAATCCAGCTAGTTATATAAAAAAATATATATTTGATGTATATTACAGTTAAGATGCTATGTACACAGCAAAAAGGAATCCAAACACCCCCCGAAGGGATAGGGAAAGGGGAACAAAAGGGAACAAAAAGGGACACCGAGCAGATATACGCAATCAAACCTGAGAATTAGTAAAATAACTAGTAAAACAAATCTCACCACGTCCCTTAGAAAAAAGCAGGATTGGCACACACGGCCAGCACTCTGCTATCCTCCACGTGGCAGGCCAGCGGTCGCTGCAGGCCTCAGCCTTAGATAAGCGAGACCAACGCAAGGACCCACTGTTCCCGTACTCCGCTGGAAGAGAAGAGAGTGAAGGCCTCTCTTCCCTTCTTATTTATACCCCGATTTACGTAAAAATCGTATGGAATACTGGGAACACTGCCTCTTCCTTGGTTACAAACTGGTAACCAAGGAAGGCCTAGATTAAAACCACCACAGAGAAATAAACAGTTATGAACATTCTTAGCCAAGGCTTCCTAGAAAGAAACAAGCCAAAACAACAAATATGATGCACAAAAAAAATGAAAGTCAAGGAAACTATTTTTCTTTTTTTCACTCCATGACTAAAGATACCTGGAAATGAACTCTCTTTGAACACAAAACACTACAGCAACTACACTTAACAACCAACACCACCTTCAAACTATTGCCAAGATTATTTCTCAACATGCTTTAGATGCAATGCTGCATTTCCATTTTATAGGCAGACCTTAAGTGTATCAGGAAGCAGCACAATCTTTTCTTCTGCTTCACCTCTTCTATAACCTCATTCTCTTTGCCACACAAATGGAACAAATTAAAAAATATAATATGAAGTTATTAATACCCTAATTGGGCCAGCAACTTCTTCTACTTCATGAATTTTTTCTTTCACTTCTTTTAATCTTTTTTCAGCTTCCAGGAGAATATTTTTCTGTTTTTCCATTTTTCTGCTTTGTAGTTGCATGTCTTCCTTTACAGATTCCATCTTAGCCTTATTTTCTTCAGCTTCATTTTGCTGTCAAAATATATTAAAGTGAGGAATGATAAAAGGAAAAATACATTTGTAAATTACTGTATCAGGTTTTAATTTTACTATCAGGGTAGAATATTACATGAAATACTCTAAGATTCTAATATGAACATGAGCAGCTCAGTGTAATTGTCATGACAGCCTAAAAGAAGAGACTGACACATCTTGTAGGAGACCACTAAACCAAACTGTAAAATAAAAGCAGAATTTCATAATTATCTGATCGAAAATTAAAAAGGACTTTATTTGGGAATTGTGATGAAAAAAATTAAAAGAATAAGGAAACTTCCTTCAGGATCCATGACAGAATACAAACACACAGTATACAAAGGAACAGAGGAAGAGTAAGTGGATTGTTGTTGTTCCCTAGAAAACCAGACCATTCCTAAGGAATTATCATCATACATACTTTCTGATTCACAAAGACAAATATTGCAAAACCTGGGAAAAATACGTAAATGAAACCTTGTATTGCTAAGAGTCCTTCACAATCAAACAATTGTGAAATCAAGGAAGCAATGAAAATCAATACCAAGTGAAAAAAGAGTAATTAATCCTTAGTAGTGGTCAGAAAGCACAGAAAACACAAAAACAAAAATCCAAGAAAGGAATGAAGAGAAGCAAATACATAAATCTAACAGCTGCATAGGACTATTAACAGAAACCAACTGTAAAAACACTGATGTTGAGCAAGGAAGTGTTCAATGATCTTTTAACAGGAAGATATCCTCCTACAAAAATACAAAAAACTATCCTCCATCTCATCAAATAATATACTTTAAAAAAAAAACAAACAGAATTAGATTATCTGGAAAAGAGAAACTCTGTAAGAGCTTTCAGAATCTGTACTGATCCCTTTTTGAATAAATTTTGAAATGTTCACTTACATGCACATGTGTGCATTCACACTGAAAGACAGAGTACTGAAAAAAAGTGTGAGTTTGTGCCAACACTACATGTGATTAAAGAAAAAATCTGGTCATCTTGGACTCTTGTTGATCCCAGATAAAATAGTGGGGAAAACGCCATGGAATTTATCTGAAACAACTGCAGTCAGGATCACTATTAGCAGCATAATTCTCAGAATTTAAAACTTGGCCATCTGTACGTCAGCATATGACAGAGCAACAGTTCAAATTCACAGCCACCAATACACAAATCACAACAGATCATCAAACATTTTTCTCTGTTCTTAAACTACTTCGCACACATTTTAAGAACACATTGATAACAATAAGAACTCTGAAGGAACCATCATCCTACCATGTACTTCTCTAGGGAAATACATGAATTTGAAATTTGTGCATGGTGAAGCTACAGTAAAGGAAGAACTTGTGGGTTCAGGGCAGAGCAGCTGTGCTGTGGCATTAATTATGCTCCAGGGTAGCCTCTACCTATGTTTTGATGATGCCACTTCTGACCTTCAAACCTACAGTGTCACTTCTCCCTAACCAGAGTCTTATAGCACTGCAGGTCTGGAATGAGGAAAAAAAAAGGCAGAAGTAGAAGAAGAAAAGGAAGAAGGGGAAGAAGAAGAGAGAAAGGGAAGTACAAGATCAAAGAGAAAGACAGAAAAAAAGAAGGAAAAAATATTTTTAAAAATCACAAAAAAAAAAAAAATTACTCCATTTACAGAAATGTTCACAATTATGACAAGTGTTACATTCTTGACTATTCATCCAACTTTTCTTATTTCAAAACACTGTCAACATTAAAAGACATAATTTCATATGCTGATTAGACATAATTTGATAATCTATTCTTACTAAGATACAGATGTCCACTGACTGGTGTTCTTCCATATTTTCAAGGTCTACTATTTCTGCATTTGCTGTTCTTATTTTTATCTGAAAAGAAAAAAAACAAACACATCCTTTAGCTTAACTAAAGAGAAAAGTTCATATTTGTTCATTTAAGTTATCACAGAAAATATTTGATTTTTTACTTTCATTAGTGACTAACAAAAGGAACTCTTCATGCCTACCTATGGAATTCATTTTCATAAGATATAATTTGTTCTGAAAGTCATATGCACTTTAAATCATTATTTTATTTGTATTTAACATGACAATTGAATAAAATACATTTTGTTTTTTCTTCAAATATTTATCTTCAGCATTTCAGTCCACATGCCAGGTTCTTTGTTGCTTCTTTTTTGTAATTTACTGAATATAACCTTATATAGCATGTATTAGCTTACACTGCCTACCTGGAGTATCACTGGTCACCACAAATATATATCACAGAATAACAGAATATGCTGAGTGGAAAGGACCCACAAGGATCATCGAGTCCAACCTTTAGCTCTGCACAGGACCATCCCCAAGAGTCACACCATGTGCCTGAGAGTATTGTCAAAATGCTTCTTGAACACTGTCACGCTTGGTGCTGTGACCACTTCCCTAGGGAGCCTGTTCCAGAACCCAATAACCTACCTAGGAGTACCACAAAAAGGAATATTCTACCTAGGAGTAACACAAAAAGGAAGCTAACAGTTGTAAAATGGTTTTAAAGAAATTAAAATTAAGAAAACTTAGAGATGTGACATGTCCCAGCATACCAAAATGGGATAAGAGTATATGAAGAGCATGACAATAAGAAAGATTCTGGGAATGAAAAGGTAAGCCTCAACAGAAATAAAGGAGAGAGAAGGATTATAAGTGTCTCTTCTGTGCACTATTAGTGTCAAAACAAGCAATAGAAATTTGTGAGATTTAGCACACAGTGGAAGAAAGATATCAAACAGGAACAACAGCACGTTAGGACTGATGACCTATCATTCTGTCCTAAATTATGAGAGCATATTATGAAAGTAAAAAATAGGAAAGCAAAGTAAGGATAAAACAAAAGTAAGGATAAACATTAAAAACTATCACTCAGTCAAAATAGATTGCAAAAGTCAAAATGAAATAGGGAAAGACTGATGACTTTCTAAAAACTAACACTGTTCTTATTTTTACCTGTAGTTCTTTTTGGTGTCGTCGATGACCATAAAGATGATCTTCATTTTGCCTAATCTCATTTTCAATGGAATGTAAATGTTGCTGAGATGCTGCCAACTGTGCCCTTTTGCTTTCAATCTCTTTATCCAAGTGACTTTATAAACAAAGTGATATTGAGATATATTACACAGGTATTATTTATGACACACACAGAAATACACAAAAAAATACACGAATGACAAGACAAAGGGTAAAAATGCACTCTTTTTCAACAAGCCTACATCATTCCTCCATGGCAAACATAGCAATGGAATTCCTGTCACACTTTGCAAGTGTCCTGGTTGTTGCTATTACTGTGCATTTCTTATTCCATTGTGTTTGTCTTCAGTAAACTGTTAACTCATAGTCTCTGCCTTTGCCCTCTCTTACTGGAGGGGAGTGAGGGGAAGTGAAGTGGTTTATTTTGGGTTTAATTCCCAGTTGGTTTTTTTTAACCACAACAGAAAGTTAAGATAATCTTTGAGTGAAGTTCATTATATACTGACATGAACAAAGTATAGTTAACAGACATATTTAAAACTTTTGAGTTATAGAAATTAATTTTAACATTCAATTCAGTCTATACTATCAGCTATTAATACTAAAATTATTGACGTAATATGTCTCTAATATAATCTGAGCCTTAAAATAAAAGTAATCTATTGTCAATTTGTTTATTGACAGTTCAAGTTTGCAATCTTTGAAGTACGTTTTGCTTTTTTAACTACTGTATTGAAAGCAATGAGAGAGAGAGCCCTTAAAAACATAAATGGTGAGGGAATTCTCAGAGATATCTACCATAAATGAAGCCAAAAGCCTAAGAAAGCACAGATGTAGTTTGAAACCAGTAGTAGTATATGTGCTAACAACTTTGGTTTGAAAAATCAGGCTTCCCTTACAGTAAACTATGACACCACTGTTCAAGTGTTAGATTTTAAAAGAAACAGCTTTGACTCCATACTCATTTTCTCCAATTGTAAACTAAAAGAGAAGGTAGCTAGATTTCCTGGAGTATCCAGTTCAACAAACCCTTACTTGCCACAAGCTGAAAGATAACTAGATACAATGCAGGTTTGCACCTGTCACAGAAAGGCACTGAAATAAAGAGATTTTCTAGAATTCTCAGGAGGGAAGTGTAAATCTCAGAAAAAAATGGAAAGACTAGAGAGTAATGTCCATGCAAATAGACAAATAAGCAATTCCACTACTCATGTCAACAAGTACAGTTTTTACCAACACAACATCACAAGACGCTAACCTTATTTCTGCTTCAACATCTTGACTGAGGTACTTGGGTCTGGAGTAATTGGAAGAGTAATACCGTCTTTCAAAGACGTGATCACCTTCACCAGTGAAAGCTTCTTTACAGTTTGTTGGGGGACGACTGGACTGCATTACCTCACGAGCTCTACGGCTGCTCTGAAAAACACAATGGTCTTATCATACCAATAGAAAAGCAACAACAATTAAAAATAACAATTTAAAAGTTGTCTAAGATGCTCTCATCCAGAAATAATTTCAATGCCTAATGAAATAAGAAATACAGTAATAAAAGAATGTGGAAAAAAATCTATAATGTCAAGAATCTACTTTTCTTAGTTGAACAATACATTTATGTTCTCAAGAACCCACAAAGTTTATCTACTCATTTATTTTATTCTATTATGAATTTATCTACCTTGTAAATTCTATAGTCTAATCAATCCCTTGTAATTTGCCATGGGAAAAAAACCCCAATAACCAAAAGGTTACTATGCACAGGTGTATTTAGCAGTCAGAAGTGGAATAAATGTACAGGAAACCACCTTCCAAAGCAAGATATGAAGTACATCAAACAATATACAATTAAAGTTTAATGTCAGTAACATTACCAACAAATACGTTGATAAAAAAACCCACATTGACAGTGCCAGACTCAGCGGTCACAAGTGCCTTTGTCCAAGGCAATAGTGTTCTCGAATCTGAAGCATCAGTTCTTCATATTAGAATACTTCAGATTCAGATTCAGTTGAAATAGTTCAGGTAAGGCTCAAAGATGGTAACATTAAAATCAGTGATTAGGTAAGGCAGAGGGGGAAGAACAAATCCAACATTCCTGCCATGAGAAAAGCCTAGAAAGTTCAGCTGCACATACATTCAGTTACAGCCATGCTTGATAAACACTCAGCTCTGCACTCGACAGAGCATGAGCTGCCTGTTTTCCAGTAGGAATGTCAGAGGACAAACTGGGACAAGAGATTTTGGAGGAAAATAAAATCCAAAAAAAGTAAAAGTCATTAGTTCCATCAGGGTCCTCACCTCTGCTCAGTGGCAAGAAGGAAAACAAAACTTGCTCTACCCCTTTTATCCATTACAGACACTACCAGTGAAGGTGCCAGATGCTCCACACAGAGAAAACAAGTTTCTTTAAAGACCAACAGGGAGCCTAAAGCCTTACTTTAATTAGCAGGACTTTTTCTATACCCCTCACATCGATCAAACAATTGGCAACCATTACATGATCTATTTCCAATGCTGTCAGTACAGATGGGAATTCTGGATGATAAACAGCTCTGAAGAAAAGAAGAAAAAAAACAATTTATAAAACTCACAAGAGATTCTTTAAAAAAAAATCAAAAATAGTTCTTTTCAACTAATAATTTGAACCATCAAGGCTAAGCAACAAATTTCAAAACATAACTTACCTCTGTCTAACATCATAAATTTTATTCTGGAATTTATTTACAATTATTTGAGGTCTAAATCCACGTGGGTAATGTTTTGTCATCAGTAATTGTAGAGTTCTTTCGTCGCTATGATTATCACAGCAAAATGCATGAACTAGGCCCTTTAAACAGGCTTCGATACCCAAGGTCAGTTCAGGATCTTTTGGATGAATGAAAGCACCTAAGTAAACATAAAAGGAAAGGTTTTAGGAGTTGTGTTCCACAACAAAACATTCACTAGAGCCTTACTACTCAAGGTTCTTGTCGTCTCGTGTTGCAGGTTTTAAGAGTTTAAAATAAACCTTTCTTATAAGTAGAAAAAAAATTAAGCAGCTGACTAAAAGATAAAAAACTCCACAACAGACAAGCTACCCTGAGAACATAAATATATAATTTCTGTTCCTAGAGACACCTACACATAGATGGAGGCCTACATTTTCTTTCAAGATTTTTGACAGGTCTCAGTATACTAACTTCAATTTAGGGTACCAATTTTATGGCACCTCAGCAGTAGTGTATAAAGGTAAAGATGGTTTATCAACAATTTAATGCTTTAAGGATGAAGGCAGTGGAAAAATTATGCTGCAACTTAAACATGAAGATTTCCATTATATCTATCATCTGTCCTCAGTAGTACATGTTCTTACTCTGCAGTAAATGCAGTACTTTAGTACTTGGCCTTCACATCCAGAATATGCTGAAGTCTTTGCTCCCATTCACAAACTGAAAACAGCAGCCACTGTCACAGCTGGACAGAAAACAAATAAAGGCCAACTTCCCAAGAAAATCTCAGTTGGGTCTGTCTGAGTTGATCCACCCAAAACATCTTGAGTTTGACAAGCCCACAAGTCAGCCACTGGACACTTTAAACAAAATCTGTCTAAGACCTGGACAGTGCTACCCACTGAGAAACATGCACCCAAAGCACAGCAGTCTGATGCTTTGAGGGTGTGGGGGAGTTGGAAGGGTGCACTTGAAGTTTACTATTTTAGTTACATAAAATACCTCAACTCAAATAGCTGGAAAGTGAGAAAAACCAGAAGATGTCAGCGAGTTCATGACAGAAGTAAAAGATAACCTACCAGGATAAAACTTTTAGTTCAGGAAATACAGAAGAAAAAGATATATGTGAAGTTCCTTAAAGAACAAATAATTTTCCTAAAAGACCACTGTTTACATTAGCAGCCACACAAGAACTCCTGTGAAAAAATGTGCCTGTTTCAGTAATTATTCTTACCTATAGGTCCAAGAGGTTTATTTTTAAAGCGCCCTTGCCTATAAGCTGTTTCAACTGCTTCAACAAATCCTGGTATGTGTGGTCCAAATCTTTTCAAAGTATCTGTTTTACTATCTTTCAGCTCTCTCAGCTGTTTCTGCTTGGCATCCAGTGCTTGTTGCGCATCAGTGTTTTCTCTCCTAAGAGAACAGAATCTTTTTCAGTAGTTACAGAGCCTTAATTGGACTAAAAAAATTATAAAGCCTTCAATTCCTAATAGCACAGTGTATCAAGATGTCAGTAGTTCAATGTACGTCTAGGTACGGTGAACATAGAACAATATTTTTATAGTTTCAAGAAATATGAGACAAAAAAGCAAGAGAGAAAATTACTACTTTGCAACAGTTTTACAAGACTTTTTTTTTTTAATTATAATAAATTTATTTCTAATTATATGCTTCAATTTCACTGTCTTCTAAAAGACTTTCAACAGAACATAAAGTAAGCATTGGTTATAGTAATTGATAAAAGATGATTAAACTAATACACCAAGAGCAATAAGCAACAATTCTCAAATCCTTCAAGATAATAAATGACATTGCCATAATCCTCTCTGGTAATACTGCTGAAGTTCAGGTTTCCAAATCAAAGTCAGAGTGCTTTGGTTTTCCAGTTTAGGTATGGACTAAATTGGTACTTGAAGCACTTGCCTCAAAACGTCTATGAATGTGCCTTAACTAGAGATGCAATAATTACCCCTAAGTGTATCTATTTTCTTATAATGTTTTACATATCTTGTGCCATCGTATCAGGATGTACCAGTGTATTAAACTAACAAAAAACATTTCAATCGTAATCTGCCCATAGGATGATAAGAGAGTAAGATACAGATATTGGAAAGAAGAAAGAAGGATATTAAACTGACAGCATGGATTTATATCAGGTTTTAAATTACTAAAAACTTTCACTTTTAATGAAAAAAACAGTTTTCTTAAAGTTCCAAAGTTCCAAAAGTTTTTCAATTAAGTCATAGAAGTGTCAAAGAAAAAGTTTAGCAAGTGCTAAGATAAACAAGGGGATAAAAACACAAAAGAAACTGGAGCCTAATACCTCAGGGAACACAAGTACGTAACAAGGGATCTCTCTATAACTTAAACCAAAGGTAAATAGTTACATTCAAAAAGCATGACTTACCTGACCCTGGCATGTTCTTCTCTACACCTATATATAGCCTGCTGAAACTGATCCATCTGCTGAGCAATCATTATTTCTTCATCACGGAATGCCTTTAACTGTTCCCTTAAGTATGTAATTTTCCTTTGTCTTTCCAATTTTTCAGGCTCTGAAACCTGATTAGCACTAGAAAAGAATATACTTCAATATTTTAACACCATACTGATCATTTATAGGTGACTTTATTACTTGCAGCAGACAGAAGATTTATGTATCAGAAAGTTATGTTTAACATTCTGTGCATTTACAAAATCTACATGGCATAAATTCCAATTTTTATTTATTTTTTTAAAATTTGTAATCACATGTAACTCTCCCCAGTTACATTCCTACTGCATTTAGTTTAAGGTGTATTTGTTTTGCGACACCACGGAAGCTAGAAAATGTCTATTATCATCACCAAAAAAAAAAAACAAAACCACCTTTTTTGCTACCCAGTTACCTCATCACATTCTAGTCAAAGTCTTGGCATGCAAAATAACAAGATCAGAAACATTCAGATATTTAATTGGACTCTGTAAGATGTAAATAAATATTTTCTATTACTGCAGATTTTCTCATTAATCAGAAGAGTTCACTTCTTTCATACCTATATAATAAACATATATCATAACCACTGTATCTGTATTTACCTGCTTTTCAGTTCTTCAATTCGTTTATGCAGCTGTTCATCGTCTTTTCCCAGACGTTTTAACTCCGTTTTGAAACGATTATAAACCACCTATGAAGGAAATAGGATACAGTCATTTAAGAAATAGAAGAAAGAAATAATTTCAAAAAAATCCTAAGTTTTGAGTAAATACTGAACGGCACCAAACCAGACAAACATAACTCGATTTTCAAGAATTAAAGTTATTTATTTATTTTCACCTAAGTTTAACACTGATTAAAGCCTATGTAAAGATATAAACCCCAGGGCCCCTGACCAGAAACTACTTGCCAGTCAGGCAGGAAATTGCACCTGTTGTGAACTGCACTATGGATTCAGGAGGCCAAGACAAAGATGCAGAAGTAAAGACGGTAGAGCATTGACAAGATTAAAGCTTTAAACTGGTATGAACTTTTTGCCTACCTCAATTTCATTAACTGCTTTTCTTTTTGCCTGCACTTCAGCCTTCAAAGAAATACACTGAGGATGAAGGGCTTGTGCTTCTTCACTTACTGTTTCTAATCTGTCTTGTATTGCTTTGTACTTTTTTTCTGCTTCATTCACTTTTACCTTTGGTGAAAAAAGAGAATGATATACAAGTAGTAATGGAGCAAAATTTTTCATTGCCACTATGGACATACAAAGATGAAAATTAATAAATGAACATTCTAAGGAAACCAACAGACTGCTAAATCTGTGAAGTAAACAGCAACTTTTTTTCCTATCTCATGGTTTACTCAAACACAGGACTCTTGTTACAATAAGGCCAAGTAACATGACATCAGAAGAAGTTAAACCAGTGTCTGGTTCCTTCAGAACTACACAGACATGTTCATCTCAATGCAAAAATGCCTCAATTGTAAATCAAACACTTAAAAAAATACCCAAAACAAACAAACAAACCCCCATTTTCTTTTTTTTTTAAAAAGGAAAATGATTCCTAATAAAGAAAATTTGGAGACAGAGTTTTAATAGATTGAAAAGTTTTAGGGCTGTTCATCCCAGAGAACAGAACAAAAGTTTGTGTGGAGACCTCATATCAGCCTTTCAGCATCTGAAGGGGACTTACAAGGAAGCCTGAGAGGGACTCTTCATCCTCTGTAGTGACAGGACAGGGAGTAATAGGTTCAAACTGAAAGAGGGGAAATTTAGGTATAGGGAATGAATTCTTTCCCATGAGGGTGCTGAGGCACTGGCATAGGCTGCCCCATCCCTGGCAGCGTTCAACACCAGGTTGGATGGGGCATTGAGGAATCTGCGGGAAGGTGTCCCTGCCCGTGGTGGGAAGGTTGGAATTATACAATCCAAACCAACCCAAACCATTCTATGATTCTGAATTTGTAATAATGATGCCTAGTATTTCTCTGTAAAAATATGTATTTTATAGGTGAATCTGAGTATCTGACAAAATTATTCTTTCTTGCTACTTACAGAAGTCTTAAGAAGTCAAAGACTTCCAGAGGTCTCCTGAAATCACTGATCTTTTCTGTAGGCAATGATACCCAAGAAAACCTACATGACAGATCTCTGAGGCAGGGAGTGACAAAAACTAGAGTAGTTTAAACCATATATGTACCTGCCATTCTTCTACCTTCTGAATAAACTCTGTATTTGCTTCTTCAGCCTTGATGCCTTCTTTGATTGGCTCTATTTCTTTTTCCATCTCACTCACCTAAAAAGAAGCCTATATTAGCATCTATCACAATGTCTGCAATAGACTGAGAATGAAGTACATTTCATATGAACAAACATATTTCAGCAAGACATTTACCACTGCCCACGCTATACTATGTTTCAAATCTTCGAGATGTCTTCGCATGTCATTCACAAATGCGATGCTTTTGTAGCGTTCCTTTTTTTCTAAATAAATTTGCTTCAGTTCTTCAAGACGCTGAAAAAAGAAGAGGTTCACCATGAGTGCAAAAAGTTGTGATGTAGTATGAAATCTTGGAAAGATTTGTGGCTTTTTTAAATTTAATGTCACTAAGACCTAATCAAATCAAAACTATGCAGTTTACGTCCTATAGTTCTTACAGTACTCAGATCTGTCCCAATAATTACTTTAACTTTTACATACCTCTCTTCCTTGTTCTATCTGAATACGTGTATTCTGTTGAGTTTTCTCAACACATGAATAGTCTTCTTTCATTTGTTCCAGCTGAGTTGCCTTCATAAAAAACTAAAAAGGAATAAATGTGCAGATGTCAGGTTCAACCTCTTATCTAAGAGAACTTTAATTGCCACCGAATGACCATGCATCTCAACCTCTCTGCAGGCTGAATGACACACAAAGTAAAGTAAATGGTGAGGTTCTGGTGGTACAGCTTCCATCCCCTTCTCAGGCTGCACTGTGATATCAGAAATGCTTCTTAGGCCTTGACCTTGATGAACAGCACCTGGGCTCAGCTCCTCAGGAGCTTATTGGCAACACTCTCTGCTCCCAGGAACTTACGCTGACTGATGAGCTCCTATTTTTAACAAAACTGCCTTGGAACCTTACTTTTCTTGCCTGAATAACAACCCATGTGGAATAACATTTTTGTTACTGAACTTTCAAAGTAAGTTACATACCCAAATTGTGGCCAGGATAGAACATTACTATGATTAAAGTCCACTCTCTTGCATCCCTATAAATAGCAGTCCTAAGTGAGACCCTTTGAGCTCTCCTGGACCTTAGTGGGCTGTGACCAGCATCTCCCTCTGAGTGGGACAGCTCTGTGAGCCAGCGAGCTCTCGGATTTACTTGGAAGCTGACAACAGAGCCTGGGCTGATATCCCCACTCCTCAAGAATCAACCTGTTGAGATGATACAAAGGCATCCAAAGTGAATACTTCCCTGAATCCAATGGGAATTTTTCACAGGGATACACCTTGTACCTACTATTTAGGTCTGTGGGCAGGTGAATATGCTCTAGCAAATGTATTATGAATGTCGCCCTCTTAGACTCTTAAGTAAATTAGGCCTATAAGTGAGTTACCATTGTGCTGTAGTAAATTCTATAAGAATCTTTTGTTAAATTGTTTAAATTAGGCTATCAATTAGTGCTGTCAAAATCTTTAAGCTTAAAATATTAGTCAAGTCTGAGGCTGCGTTTCGCAAGGCACCCTGAACCTTGTGACTTAACGGGTAGGTCTCCCTTACTCCTTTTTATCTTTACCCTTTTCCCATCACCAGCCTCCATGTCGATCATTTTAGGTTGATTTTAGTTTTAGCTTGATTGATTACAGGTTTTAGTACAATTTTCCTCTGTGTGCTTTAACCATCCAGTTAAGTAGGAAGAGTGAACCTTGTTGACAAACTTCGTTGTGCTTTCATTTTAATATTAAACCTGCTTTTGCTGATACTTGTGCCAGTGGTTCTTTGAGTAACCTAAAACACTCATTTGCAACAGTGGTATTTCTGAATAATGAAATAACTCAGCAGTGCCCTGAAATTTAATTTTATCAATGTCTTTAGAGAGAATAAACTTCAAAAAAATTGTTTGTGCAAGTGAGTGACTGCTACAATCAGACAGTGTACTGGCTCTGGCCAGGATGGAGTTAAGTTTCTTCATAGCAACTTTTACGGTGCTGTATTTTAGATGTGTGATCAAAACAATACTGACAAGACCCTAGTATTTTAGCTGTTGCATCAAGGCCTCCTGTTTCTCACTCTGCTCTCCCAGTGAGAACATTAGCAGGGTGTGCAAGAAGTTGGGAAAGGATACAATCAGGCAGTTGATCCCAAAGAGATATGCCACCCCATGAAACTTCATTGTCATGGTTCAGCCCCTGCCAGCAACTCAGACCCCCACAGCTGCTCACTCACTTCCCTTGGTGTGATGGGGGAAAGAATAGAAAAGTAAAAGCAAGAAAACTCATGGGTTGAGATAAATTATTTAATAAAGGAAAAACTACACACTCAAGCAAAGCAAAACAAGGAATTCATTCATCACTTCCCATGGGCAGGGAGGCATTCAGGCACCCCCAGGAAAGCAGGGCTCCATCATGTGATTTAGGAAGACAAATCCATCACTCTGTCTTCTAATTCCTTCTTCTTTCCCCAGCTGTACATGCTGAGTACAATGCCATATGGTCTGGGATATCCCCTGGGTCAGCTGCGATCAGCTGTTCCAGCTTTATCCCCTCCCAACTCCTTGTGCACTCCCAGCCTCCTTGCTAGTGAGGTGTGGTGAGAAGCAGAAAAGGCCTTGACTGTGTTCAGTAAGCACTGCTCAGCATTTACAAAAATGGCAATAACAAAACATCTCCATGTTATCAAAACTGTTTTCAGCACAATCCACAAGGTAGCCCTATATTAGCTGCCATGAAGAAAATTAACTCTATCCCAGCCCAAACCAGCCCAGCCATGCTCAGCAAAAAAAGGGACAAGAGAGGGTTTAGGGAGATTAGCCATTTTTGGTTGGAAACTGGTTAGGCACTGGTCTACCAACTGGAGGTGGTGAGTGATTACTTTTGCATCTCTTGTTTTCTTTCACTTTCTTTCTCTCTCCTTCCAGCTTTCTCTGCACCTTTTAAAAATAATTTTTATCTCATCCCTTTAATTTGTTTTATTGTACCCTTCTGTTCCTCTTACCACATCCCAAGCTGGAGGGAAGCACCAAAGGGAAGTGAGTAGTCGTGTGGTATTGAGCAGCTTACCTGAGTTAAACCACAACAGGTTATTAAAATCAAGGAATCTGTTGGGTTTTTTCCCTTCCAAATGCTGCCTCTAAAAATTTGAAATCAGTATTCTAATGTTTAGTCAAAATGTTCTATTATTTTTCTTACCTTATACTTGTCACTTCCACTTTTAGTCTGTAAAAACTGTTTACTCATCTCTTGGGTTAAAATAGTCACAGGATTATCTACCTGCAAAAAATAATTGCTTTCTTTTTATTTTGAATAGAACAGTTATCATGTAACTGCAAATCCATGAAAGCGAGCAAACCATTTCCCTGTTCCATGTACTGCAACTCAATAATAAGATTCAGAAATTAAGATTTCTAAACCTCTAATCTCTTCAAAAAATACAAAACATAACAAACAAAACCAATAACAAACAGAAACTTTAGAAATCCAACTCCATCAAGTACAAAATCAAACCACAGCAAGGACAACTAAGGAACTGCTTCCAAGAGGATGACTTCTATAAAGACAGTGCCTGTAAGCTCCATTTATTTAACAAGATGAACATTAGAAATTTTGTCCAATGTTGTATTTCTCATTATTTAATTGATTAAAGTATTGCATTGACTGCAATGAATTGACCCATATATTCTTACAGAAGTTTCCACACAAAAAAATCAATACATACCAGCTGAAGTTTATGTTACTTGAAAATCTAAGTATGTTGAATACTTTAAATTTCATGTGCATTACCTGATCTTTTATTAATCACTTTAACAGCAAAAACACACTCAAATTTCTTCCACAGAAAACACTGAAATAATCAGCATAAAAACTCCCTCCAAATACAAAAGAAACCTATGCTAGGACTTCCATCAACAGGATACATGACTCATGGCTCACAGATGATAGTAATTACTTAGCTGCCTGGGACAGAATCTTATTCTGCATTGGATGAGGTACACATTTCAATTTTTCTTTTTCTGATGCATTTGATTCTGAAAAAACATGGAAGGAATAAACGCCTCCCATTTAAGGAAATGAGAAAACATTGCTTTTTAATGAAAGTATTACAATATCTCATGCTGGTGTCTGAAATTGCACAGAATTTAAACACAGCAACTACCTGTATATTAAAATGATCCAGTATTTTTACTAGTTCCTCTTTCTTTGAAGAAATTAGGTTTCCTAATGGAAAAAAACAGAGAGAAAATACTAATGGGTCTAAAGTAAAAAGACATATAATGTCGCAGTCCCTTGTTGCCTCATAAACCCACTGTGACAGAATATAGGTAAATCAGCAAACTCAACAGAACCTCAAAAAGACTAAAAGAACTATGTTCACCCTCATCATACAATCAGATTTTTGTAAAAAAAAAAAAGCATAATGCAGAACCTGACATAATAAATAATATATATCAATAAATAACTAATATTTTGACATATTAAAATATTTTTAGTCTGAGGTAAACACACAAAAAATGGACAATGTCATGACCCTTAAATGATTCTGTGAAATAACATCTCCCTTTACTAACATCATTTAAAGCAATGAAAACATTTAAAGAACTTCTAAGACTGAGAACAAAGCAAACTACCACCAACCAGATTTGCTTTTCAGTTTGTAACTTCTGCTTCCATCCTGATTAATGTGCTGATTCACAATAATAGAGTTACCATACGATTCTGGTTTAAATGCATCTCTGCCCTGGTTTCGCAAAGTTATGGAAATATCCGCAGAACTAAAAGAAAAAACCAAAAATAATAAAAAAGACAACTGAAATTCATTTCAAATCTAACAAAAAAAATCAAAACATTCTAATTTTACATACAAATTTTCATGTCTACTATGGGTCAGAACTGCAAGTCAGTCATAGTTCCAATCAGAACAATACATATTTATGTTGTTTGAGCCAAAACAGCATCAGATACACATCCAGAAAGGCTGCCATACACTATCTGTTTGCACCTTCCTCGTTAACAGCCAAAAGTAAATAGTTGTGAGAGCAGATTTCCCCCACCTTCCCTTCCCATATGAGTGCCCCCATTTTTAGCTTGCAGATTCAAGTTGCTTTTTTGTTGTTCTCCTGTTCTCTTCTGTAGAAAACAGTTGCTTAGTTTCTACAGCCTAACCAAAGTAATCTATACCAGAATGCTTAAGTCATTCTTCTAGAAAAGATGAGATATGCTTTCACTTCCGAATTCCTATTTTCTGTTTCTTGAGTGAGTGTTGAAACTTTAAGTTGATACACATAAGGAAGGTACAGCCAAAAATTTAGTTGAAGCACCTTTGAAAGGAAAAGGCTGAGACTCCGAGTTACAGCTTTATGTAAATGTAAACTCCTAAATCTATTTTGCTATCGGTTTCCCTGAATATGTTATCCCTACTCTGACAGCAGACTACTTCCTGCATGTTTAAATACCCACCTGTAAGTCAAGGCCTTTATATTGTATATTCATTCACATCACCAGAAAGACGGAAAAATAATTAACCTCACTGCTTGCAAAACAGTAACTAGTTCCCTAGGATTTTTTTGTAATGAATTCAATTATTCGGTAGGAACTACATAGAAAAGAATAGGAAGGAACACACGAGAACAGGGCAATACAGAGGACATACCACCCACGTTAGCTAGTTCAGTGTCCTAGTCTCAGCCAGGTCAGAGTTCATTTTCTCACAGTTGCTCTGAGGGCAGCAGGGTTGTTATTCTATGCCACCCATGTCATCACTGGGTGACGTTGCTGCAGGTGGAAGAAGAGGGGAACGCAACACAGAACTGCTACCATTTTGTTCCTTTCCTCCAGGGAAAGCAGGCAGCGAGAGTGGGGTGCCTCCAGTCCTCCTAGGGGTTTGTCCATCACCACTTTTTGTTGTCTCGGGCGTGGGGGGCGAGAGAGGATGGGGACAATTTGTCCTCTATTGCTTTTTTTCTTCACTGGGGCAGGAGCGGACACAGACGCTTTCACCCGCCATTTTCTTCTTTGTCTGGGGAGCTCTGAAGCTTGGGCTGTGGTGCAGTCAGGTTGAGTCGGACTAACTGAGCATTTCTGCATGTAATCACCCTATTTTATACACTGTTGTTGTTAGTACTGTTGCTGTTACTGTTTGTTTTCCTTATCTCATTGCTGGTTTTTTTCCAGTAAATTGTTATCCCAACTCACAATCTCTGCTTTTCCCCCTCTCTCACCATAGTAGATGGAGGTGAAGGGGAACGGTTGCTTGCAGTGTCATTTCCAGCTGGTTTTAAAACCACAACATTCAGAAATAATGGTATACTACTGGTAAAATTTCTAATTTTTTTGTTTGTATTTTTTGGGGGGGGGGGGGGGGGTTAAATATGGTCTCTTCATTGTTTTGCTTTTTATTGAAGCCTGGTGAATCCAATAAGAAGATGCAGAAAGTGACGGTGAACTCACCAGCTAATCCGAATGACTAAACAGCATATGCTACTTTAAAGAAGTTTTACTTACGTCTCTCCATCTCGAATAAACATTTTTAATGAGGAACCTCTATTAGTTGCAGTGGCTTTTCCACCAAGTCCAACAATAAGACCAGTTAAAATAGAACTTTTTCCACCTGTAATAGAAGCATTGACCTTGTGTTAAAGGGAAGTTCTTGTAACTTCTCCAGTTCACCCATATTATAGATTTTTGTTTGACTGATTATATATTCATGCCTTAGAAGTCCAAATTCTGTCCTTATTGAACAAACATATAACAATAACACTAGGAAAGTATCTGCCATTTCTATGGTTCTCCCTAAAAACACCCAACATGCTGAGCCAAACCTGTTAGTTCTATCTAGCAATTTGCATTCAACATGTTCTAGGTCAGGAGGAAGGAATGTCCCCTTCCTTGAGAGCATACTGAAAACATGTATACAACAAAAGAAATCAAATACGTAGTACCTATCTGAAAGGTTTTAAGCTCTCAAAATGTAAATTCTCTCTTCACAAGAAGTTAGGTTGTATAAATATTACTTTCTTTTCCTATAATAGTTTCTACGTGACCTACAGTCCTGATTTTTCTTCCTAGTAGCTGGTACAGTGCTGTGTTTTGGGTTCAGCATGAGAGCAGTGCTGGTAACACACTAACACTTTGGTTGTTGCTTAGTAGTGTTTACTCAAACACTACTGTTTGGGTAGTTGTTACCCAAACCTGAAAAGTCTCAGGTCTCATGGTCTGCCAGGAGGAGCACAAGAAGACAGGAGGGAAAATGGCCAGGAAAGCTGACTCAAACTGGCCAAGGGGATACTCCATACAATAGAATGCCATGCCCAGTGCATGAACTGGGGAGTGTTGGCCAGGAGCTGCTGATTGCTGCTCACGATGGGATGGTTGTGAGCAACTGTATTGTGCATCACTTGTTTATCTTGGGTTTTATTATAATTATTATTATAATTTATTTTATTTCAGTCATTAAACTGTTCTGATCTCATACTACAGGTTTTATCTTTTTCAGATTCTCCTCCCCATCCCACTGGGGGACGCAGGGGAGTGACCAAGCAGCTGCACAGTGCTTAGTTCCCAGCAGGGATTAAACAACAACAGTCATTTTTGGTGCCCATCACAGGGCTCGAAGGGTTGACATAACAACAGAACCGACCAGAGTGTGTTCAAATGAATTTGTTGTAAACTTTCATTATCATTCAGTTCAATAGCTGCTGGTCACAATGTTGATTTGTTTGCTCTCAGAGTCATTGCGCTAGTTCTCAGAGTTGCATTATGTAGCACCTTGCTTGCAGGATGTGCTCCCCATTTTGGCGCTCATCACCTTTGGTGCTTGGGCTAAGGTTATGATTTTGCAGTACTTTGTAATACTGGCTCATATGAAGGGACAGAGCTGGTTGGGAGTCTCGCCCGGTTCGTGCGCTCAGCATCTCCCTCACGCCTGGGCCTCGGGGGCCACCTAGCGGCAACTACTGACCACTACACCTCCTGCCTTCCCTCCCGAGAGCCAGCCTGCGGGCGGAATCGTCCCCTTCTTCACCAGGAGAATTGGAACACCACTTGAGAATTCTGAAAATTTTGAGTATCCTTGGGAAGTTGAAACCATCAGGAAGTAGGATGTTGCTGAATGTGGTTCAGGTCTTCTTCAGCATTAAGAAAACTATTAGCCCCTACTCCAACTCCCCAGTATAACTACTGAGGCTCCTTCAACCTCAGCAATGGGCACTGCAGGCACTTGGACAATTACTGTGTACTTAATAATAAACGTGCAGGTACATTTAGTTCATATATGAATTTATTTGGCTATGAAAATATCTATATTCACAGTATATTTTGCAGAAATCTCCACATTTAAGACCTAACTCTTTCATCAGCCTTGCCTTGTTGGGATAGACCTGTGTGGCTCCCAAATTCAAAAGCGAATCCTTGCCCATGCCTACAACATGGCGAAGAATTCTTTTTCAAATAAACATTACATCTTCTAAATTATTAACAAAAATGTTTTTTGACAAAGAAATTATGCAATTAATACTTACTTCCATTGCTTCCAACAACGAAATTGATATTTGATCCAAACTGAAAAGGCCCCAGATTTGAATGGCACATGAAGTTCTTTAGCTGGATACTTTCAATTATCCCAACTTCACCGGCAGTCTAAAGAATGAATAGTGAAAACCAGAGTTATGTATGCATTTTAGTGAGATATAGTTTATATATTTTAATCATAAGGAGTATTAAATGACAGTATAATATAAAACATCAATGGTTACAAGCTACAAGGAAACAGAAGGGTTTCATGATACTATGTAGTTGCTTGCTACAAAGCAGTTACATAATAAAATAGAAAGAGTTACCAAAGCTGACTGCTCACTCACAGTAACTTTTAGTTCTCCCCATTACTAACTTATAATTAATACAACATAAAATATTTAGACAATAGATTCTACACAGTTGGCTGACCATGTTAACGCATGTTATTAAGGGCATTGGCAAATACCTCTTAAATCCTGGCAGGCTTGGGGCACTGACCACCTCTCTAGGAATCTGTACTGGGTTTGGGTGGTGAGATTTTTGGTAGCAGGAGGCAGGGTGGGGGCTACAGGGGTGGCTTCTGGGAGAACCTGCCACAAGATCCCCCATGTAGCCTGGAAAAGAGGAGGCTCAGAGGAGACCTCATCACTCTCTACAACTACCTGAAAGGAGGTTGTAGCCACGTGGGCGTTGGTCTCTTCTCCCAGGCAACTATCAGTAAGACAAGAGGGCATGGTCTTAAGCTCTGCCAGGGAAAGTTTAGGCTAGGTATTAGCAAGAAATTCTTTACAGAGATGGTAATCAGGCATTAGAATGGGCTGCCCAGGGAAGTGGTGGATTCTCCATCCCTGGAGGTTTTTAAGATGAGACTGGATGTGGCACTGAGTGCCATGGTCTAGTAACCACGGTTGTAGTGGATCAAGGGCTGGATCTCAGAGGTCCTTTCCAACCCAGCTGATTCTATGTCCAACAGAGCCAATGCCAGCCAGCTCTAAGAGAGACCTGTTGCTGGCCAAGGCCAAGCCCATCAGCAATGGTGGTAGCACTTCTGGGGTAAGAATTAAGAAGGGGAAACTGCAATTGCAGCAACTGCTGTGAGAGAAGAGAGGAGTAAGAATATGTGAGAGAAACAGCCCTGCAGATGCCAAGGTCAGTGCAGAACGAGGGGCAGGAGGTGCTCCAGGCATCAGAGCTGAGATTTCCCTCCATGGGGGAGCAGAGATCCACCTGCAGCCCATGCTGGAGCAGGTGGATTCACAAAAGGCCATGACTCTGTGGGAAGCCCATGCTGGAGCAGGTTTGCTTGCAGGACTTGTCACCCAGCAGGGGACCCACACCGGATCAGCCTGTTCCTGAAAGACTGCACCCAATGGAAGGGATCTACACTCGAGCAGGGGAAGTGTGAGAAGTCCTTGCCTGGGGAGGAAGAAGCATCTGAGACCATGTGTGACAAACTGATCCCAGCCCCGCTCCCCCATCCCCTGTGCTGCTGGGGGAGAGGAGGGAGAGAAAATCAGGAGTGAAGCTGAGTCCAGAAAAAGGGAGGGGTGGAGGGAAGGTGTTTTAAGCTTTCAGTTTATTTCTCTTTATCTCTCAAATCCTGATTGTTGATAAATTCAGTTACTTTTCCCAAGTGGAATCTCTTTTGCCTGTGACAGTAAGTGGTGAGTGATCTCTCCCTGCCCTTATCTCAAGCATGAGCCTTTTGTTATATTTTCTCTCCCCTGCACAGGTGAGGAGGGCAGTGACAGAGCAGCTTTGCTGCACACTTGATGTCTAACCAGGGTCAACCCATCACAGAAGCCTGGTCTGGTGTCTGCAACGTTTCCTAATGTCCAGTCTAAGCACAAAACAGTATTTTCAATCTCAGAAATTATTTTTTAAAATTCTTCCATCAAATTAGAATTCACCCACTAACAGAAAAGCAGAAAAAATAATATTCCTGTTCTCAAGTTTCATTCCATCAAAATTTGCATTTCAAACACTAGATTTTTTTTTCGACATTTGAAAGTGTCAGTTATCCAAAACAAACAAGTATTTGGTTCTTCATTTAGTAAATAATTAGTTTTCTAAATCTTTTCTATGCTGTTACTACAAACATAAACAAAATATACCATGATTCTACCAAAATCCATTTCCTTTATTTGATTAATTGGCAACTTAAGTAGTACTCATTCTGTGAAACCAGAATATTGTTATTTTATGACGAACTGTTATAACTGGATGACCTAAAAGAATAAGGTAAGAACGAACATCACAGACAGTACCTCTAGTTTCTTTTATATTTGTTCTACTGAAGCCTACATTTATTTAAACAAGGACAACTTTTTGTTCCATCTTCACCTCTAAGACTTTTTAAACAACTTACCAACTGTGAAGAGGTATTACCATCAGCTGATGACTCTAAATTTTCTTCTTCATTAGACTCATCACTATGTTCATCTGTGCATTCTTTTCTCCGCCTTTTCTGGGATCCAGGTTTTGAAATACTTTCCTCCTTTCTCTTACCCATGAGTACTGAAAAATGAAAGTAATGAAATATTGTAGGTTTCCGTCTTCTAGATGAAAACATATCTACAGGTGATAGCACAGACATACCAAATTATTAAATTTGATAAAAGAAATATTAAGATCATAGCAAACATTACATTAATACTTTTTCAGAACTGAAATCTTGGTAATTTAAGCCTAAGCATACTATGAAAGAGTTGCATGAGAACAAAAGAAACACAGCTTCATAATTCTAATCAAGCTGAATTTGTTGATTAACAGTAAAATCAACCTTAATTCTGTTTTCCTTGGTAGATTAGACTTTGAAATATTTGCTAGAATCAACTCCATTTGGTTAGCAATGGAGTTGAAGATCAGCTGGTAAAAACAACATAACTAACATAGTGGGATCAGCAGCATCAATGTAGATATGAATAAAGTAAGCTGCACAGCTAAAAAGAAAATGTGTTAATTATTTTTGGTTGACAAAAGCCTAGAAAATTTATATGCAGAACACACAGAAGTAGAATAAAGGAAAATTTAGATTCATAGCATTGTTCCTGTGCTGTTTCTTACATGCAAGACAGCGTAATGTGATCACAGTAAACAGAATGCTGTTACTCTCTTAATGAAGGATAACAATTCTCTCTCTATAGAGGACATATGCATAAATCAGTAAGTAACACACAGACTTCCAGCACCAGTAGGAATGGTCAGAAATGAAGCTTGCAAAAGTTACAAGCTTTACTAAAGTCATATAAAACTGAAAGAGGATTAATCAAAACCTCACATTCTCTGTAACTTTAAGCTTACAGTATGGTTTTTATTTCCCCAGAAGTACATATTACATTTTTTATGTAGAGTCCTAGAGTCCCAGAGGTTTACACAAAACATCAAACTTGACATACTTGCCCAAAGTAGAAGTAAGGTCCTGTTTATACAAAGGCAATGCACAATCTTTTTACTTGTTAGTAATTTTGTCAGCTACTGCTAATCGTCCAAAACAGGTTAAAATTGACATCAATTGCATAGTTTTCCAACATCAAAACTTTTCTGAAATGGAGTTATGTTCTCCTACTCAACTCTGTACTAAAATTTTGTCTAGAGCTCCCTTCTAAGACAGACAGTAACTTTAATGTACATCACCATTTCGAGCAAAATTCAGAGGTATTAAATGTAATTAATATTCACCACTACAGAAAGATCACTGCGGCCTAAGAGTAGGCTGCTTATTTATAAAAATTGAAAAAAAGAATTTTTTTAAAAATTGGGTGGGGTGCATGAAAGAATGACTAGCGTTAGAGACATTGCATGTCTGAAGTTGGTACCACATGTTATGGTTTGAGACCAAAGTGACTGTGTGGAGACTAAACACACTGATGGCTTAGAGGCCAGAACACTCCTCAACATGGATACATGTGATGATAACAAGTGAGCACTTCCTTATCCCACAGGACAGATGGGGTGATCCAGGAGAGAAGATATGCAGGTACAACAGTTCCTAACATGAACTCCTGCCTCCTGTAGGGAGATGACATTGCAATAGAAGGGTTAACTTTGTTCGTAAAATCTTATGTGTATGAGGGAATAAGGAACTTTTGTTATAATTCAACAAGATAAGTTTCATGGACATCCTGCTAATCAGTAAAAATAACTGCAGACATCTTGCTAAACAAACAAGTATCAGTACTAGTAAAATTTACAGCTGATAAGAACTGCAGCTTTCATCTCTGACAAATCCCAGATGACCACTCAGTAACAAGCCACAAACTCAAGCCTCAAAGCAATCGCACTCAAAACCCGGGACTTGGAAATGTATAAAAAGGAACATTTACTACATTTTGGTGTGTGCCTCGGCAGGGCGCTTGCCCTCCAGGCCACCCAGCGCTGTTTTGCTTTATTATCGCTTGCTTAATAAATTTATCAATGTTTAATTGGAATTGAGTTGTCTAAATTCTTATACTAACTTATAACAACATGGTCTGTGAGAAGGCAGGACCGATCAGCACAGTGGGTCCAGTGTGCCATGCACAGCCTCAGGACTCCATGAGGCGCCCTTGTTAAAGCCGTCAGGCCCTCCCAGAGCTTCTCAGTGGGTCTTGCTCTACATTCTCTCTTTAAATGTTTTAAGATTAGTAACTTGGAGAATCTACAGAGAACTTAGTGAAATGAAGACAGTTGAATTACAACTTTTGTCATAAGAACTAGTGCTGCAACAGAGAGGTGTAAGACCCCAAATCTCACCCTATGAGTTATTCAAAGGGGTTTTACTTTAAAAATATACAAGGCTCAAAAAATCTACTTGCTGGATTTATTAAAAGGGCCTTTAGTTCTTTTAATACCTCAAGAATGAGCACACAAAAGAACACTGCACACATTTTTCAGGAGGTCAAATAACACACTGCCACTGGCAAACTTTAGAAAATAAGGGAACTTGGCAAAGGTTTAAAGGGCAACATTCAACCAAAATAAAGCATACCACAAAGCATTGACTTAGCACATGCTAACACACACAACTTAGCAAAATCCAACCTATCCAGTTTTAAGTTACCAAAAAACAAGGAGATTAGACAAAACTAAAAAGATAGAGAAGAAGAGAAAATTATTGCTACCACCCCAGATCCAGCATAGATCCAGCTACCAGGAGCCCAGGAGATGGCAGGGCTATGACCACACGAGGGCCGCATGGTGTTGGTTTTATCTGCTCTGGCCCCTTGTGGCCACCCCTTCCAGACTGAAATTCTGGCCCACTGGTGGGGTGTCAGCAGTGCTCCCGGTGTCCAGCAACAGACAGCTGCTCTGGGGCTGCCCAAGAAGGCTCCAAGGGGCTGGAGTATGGAACAGGGCACTATTCCACCTTCATGAAATTAGACCTGTCTTTTCCCCATAGACAAACACTTCAGTTTGTCCAAGCCATAATAAATATAATTATCCAGTGTCTCATAAGAGGAGCAGTCTTTCTTCCCTGTCCCTCTACTGATTCTGTCTCATCCCCTGTAGTTCAAGCAGCTCTCTACACAACAAAATAATAAATCATCTCAAGGCTCTGATTCTACTGAAAATTAATGCAAGAAAAAACTTTTTACATTATGCAAGTTCCCCAACCTTTTCAGGTTCATGCAGATCTATATGCTTGGGTTATTGTGATGAAAGAGATACTTCTTTGAGCAGTTCACTTGTGTCAGCTTAATGTTCTGGTCAAACTATTGCCTGATTTCAACTGATGGGAGGTCAGATAGCTCATACTACCAAACATCACAGACTAGAGCATATAAGAACTGCAACAGACATTAAAATTTGCTACTCTATTATTTTGCTACTAATAATAATCACTATTGTGTTATTGTTATGATTATTATTAATAATAATAATTTCATGAAGTATTTACAGCTAAATCGTCATATCCATTTTATGTTACGTAGATTAATACCACACATAGAAATCAAGGAAAAAACACACTTCACGATTACATACCTTTTGCTATGTTACTTTCGGTTTACTACAGAAACATGCCTTCAAGAATAAATTATTCAGACCAGGAAACAGTCCTTTGTACACCCATTATCCAAATATGAAGAGAAACATTCAGTCAGTCTGCTGTTCCATCAAACTCTTTCTCTAAAAAGAAGGGAAAACACAAGCTTTAGATGTTGCAATTAATAACATCCAAACTAGAGCTCTGGGCTATGAGTTTCACTGCTATACTATTTGAACATCTAAGGAAAAGAGAGTATGAGAGTGGAAAACAGAACAACATAACCAAGAAAACTCACTCATGTAGTCTAACTGTGAGGAAGGCAAAAGATAGAACAATCCGCACCCCAAAATTTTGGAAGAGTTAGTACTGCAAACAAAACTTAACTGGAACTGCAGGCAAAAAGTAGCCTCAGAAATTATGACAAATGTCTGTGAAGGTAGCTCCTTCAGGGAGTATAAAAAGACAAAAGGAATGAGGAAACTTACTGCAGCAACAAGGAATTCACTAGTAAGATTTTACAAGAAACAAAGCTTAAAAGGCAAAGGAAGAAATAATCAACATTTTAAAAAAAAAAAAAAACCACAAAAAATGACACGTATATTTGAATTTTATCTTCACATCATCTTGATATTTTTGACAGAAAAGGTTCAGTTTTTTACATTAACTACTCCCGAAACTCTTGCAACAAGACACCCTTAATTTTCTTCATTAAGTTTTTAATTGAAAAAATAGTTGCCTTCAGTCTCAGCACCACTTACCATAACTCTAACAACAGTTTGGAAATAACTACCCAAGGCAAAGGAAAAGCAGCTGATCCAACCTATCTGAAGGTAATAAAGTGTGCAATACTATACTGGAAACAATTGAACTGGCAAAAATGTACAGCAGTACATTTTAAGACACGTAATACAATAAAGGGAAGCCAACAATATACTCTATTGATAAATGTTAACAGGAGGTGTTTCTAATGGACCAGGCATCATACTGAAGAACTTAAATATAAATTCATATTGCAATATAAAGTAAGATATGTTAATGGAAACGTGATGATAGTCATGAATGTTATTAATTCAAACAAGAATCCAACAGTTATTCAGAAAGACAAATCAAAAGTACTGATTTAATGAAAAAATGAACTATCATGGAATGTAAGAGCATACGGTTAGGAATAAAAACTGGACCTATAACTGGTAACAAATAAGGGCAAGACAGATCCAATTATAAAAACAATTAAAGGATTGCTACAAATTATTACAAGCAATTGTGCTTATAATGAGAGTTGGCAAAACAGAGGTAGAGCAAAGACATCAGAGCAGACCTACTGCAGGATGAACACAAGATACAGGAGGAAGCAAAGAGTGGAAGAAGAGGAAGAAAATATCTGTGGTCTTTAGCTGATGTGTATAACACCATGCATTTGTTTAACAGTCACAAAAATAAATTGATTATAAATTAACTCTAGCAGTTAATAATTACAAAGGAAGCACAACACTATCTGTTGAACTTAAAGGCAGATGTCTCAGAGGGCTGAAGTCAGAAGTCCCAAAACACGAACAGCAGTGGGGTGCTGTTCAAAAATGAACAGCACCGGTGTCCCGTGTTAGACTACACATCTTTGACATTCACGACTCCTCTCTTAATGTACTTGCAGTCAGTGCATAAGAAGCCTATACCATCCCATTAGACACCGGAAAAGCACTGCCTGACCCACAGAATCACAGAAGGGGTAAGATGGAAGGGACCACAAGCAGGTCATCTGGTCCAACCTCCCTGCTTAAGCAGGGTCATCCTAGAGGAAATTGCACAGGACTGTACGAGAGAGATTTCACAACCTCTCTGGGCAATCTGTTCCAAAGCTCAGTCACTTCCACAGTAATGAAAGCGAAACTTCCCGTGCATCAGTTTCTGCCTATTACCACTTGTCCTATCCTTGGGCACCACCGAGCAGAGCTGGCTACGTGCTCTTGGCACCGCCCCCGCGTCCCCAGATATTTATACACATTGATGAGGTCGCCTCTCAATCGTCTCTTCTCGAGGCTCAACAGGCCCAACTCCCTCAGCCTTTCCTCCTAAGAGATGCTCCAGTCCCCCAGTCACCCTCGCTGCCCTCCACTGGACCCCCTCCAGGAGCTCCAAGCCCCTCTTGCACTGACGAGCGAAGAACAGCACTGCGGCACAGAGGGCAGCTCTGCCACCTCTGTAGGGAGCCAAAAGAGGGGGCAGAAATCCCGCAAGCCCACGATTACCTGTTGCTTTTCCCAACCCCGCTCGACCAAGGCAGGTTTCCCCCCACCCGCAGAGAAGGGACACGGGTCCCGTGGCGGAGGGAACACCCAGGCGGCGCCGCTCCCGCTCCTCACCCGCTTCCCGCCGGCACGGGCGGGCACCCGGGGAGAGTCCTGACGGCCCGGGGGGAGCCCCGACGGCCTGGGGGGAGCCGTCACACCCGGGGGGGATCCCTCACGCCTGGCGGGGAGGCCGCGCTCGGCAGCAGGTGACAAACAGCAGCTCCGACTCCCAACTGGTCCCGCAGAGCCACCTGCGACACTCGCCCCGGCGCCGTGCCGAGGGCACCCGGACGAGCGGGGAGCAGCCGTCACCGCTACGCTATGGCTGCCCGGCCGCCCGCCCTCCCTCCCTCCCTCGGGGCCGGTCCAGAGGGCAGGAGTGCGCCCGGCCACCGCCCGCCAGGACCCTCTCCCCGCACGGGTCGCCCGCTCCGCTCCTCCTCTCTCTCCTCCCTTCGCCTCCCCTCCCCTCGCCTGCTCGGCGCCGCGCGGGCGGGGCCGTTACCCGGGGCGGCTCGGGATCCTCTCGCGGGGCGGCACCGGACGAGCCAAACCGAGCGGACCCGGGCCGGGACAGGCGGAAGGGCCGCCGCGGGAGGGGCGCGTGCGCGCTGCGGGCGCGGCGGGGGCCGTTTCCGTGAGCCCGCCCGCCATTTTCGGAGGGGGGGGCGGGGCCGCCGCGGGGGCTCCGCTCGCACCTCCCGAGCGGGACAAAGCCGGGCCCGCCGGGGCTGTCCTGGAAGGGGGAGTCTCTGCTGGTCCCCACGGAGGCTGAGCCCAGCCCAGCCCAGCCCAGCCCAGCCCAGCCCAGCCCCGCCCCGCGTCTCGCGCGGTGCTCGGGCACGCCTGTTCCCGCGGGCCTGGTGCGCGGGCGTCGCTGGCGCAGCGAGGCGGGAGTTTCAAACTCGGCGGGCGGGGAGCCCTCCCGGCTCGGTGTCCTTCGTCGCGGGCGGTGCTGGGTTCTGTCTCCGTCAGGGGAGAAAAATCCGTAGGAGTTTGAGGAGGACTCTATAAATGCTTCTGTGCTTCAGGTGCGCTGGTTTATTGGCAGAGCTGTGCTGGGGTGGCGCAGAGAGAGGGGATGAGAGTTGTTAAAAACGTGTTGTGGACTTTTGTGTTTCCTCCGTCGTGTTTTTCCTTTCTTTTCCTCCTCCCCTGTGTCATAAATCATACGCTTGTCTATCTTTTCGACTAACCTTGGTAATGTGTGAAAGTATTCTGCATGAATTAGATTTCAGCGTTAAATGCTTTTTGTAGTTAGTTTTAAGTAGTTGGCTTTTCTGGCTGTGTAAAAAACTTTGGAGAGCAGAATACAGTCATAAAACATTGTTTATAAAACATAAAAGCTGTGTAGTTTTAATAAATTCTGACCTAATGAGAAATTGAGACTTATTTTTGGGTTTTATGTTTTGGGTTTTTGTGTGGTTTTTTTGTTTGTTTGTTTGTTTGTTTGTTGGTTTTTGGGGGGTTTTTTTGTTTGTTTTTTTTTATATTTACTGTTAATGATTTTCAGTGATTTCTAAATATATGAAAATAAATCAAATTCTGTCTCCCTTCTTTGGGAGTTGCCATCTCTATGAGGAGGTTGGTGGCTTGTGATGAGTAAAGCTCTTAAATCAAATCTGAGTAGATGGATCATTTGTATTGGAAGTAGTTGAGCTATTTGTATAAAGGATCCAGATTAATTATTTTATAAAATGCACTCTAAAGAAAGCAAAGACTGGTAGGTCTTGCAGGCTTTCATAACTCACCCTTAGATATATAAGTGTGGATATGGAAAACTTTAGTCCTCAAATAAATATACTTATTGCAGTGAAAAAATGGGCCCTTTGGGTTTTGCTTGTTTGTTTTCAGTTTTTTATACTTTTTTTCTTTATTATTTGTAATCTTATGGAGTGTAAAGTGTTTTCAGTGCATATCTTTCCCATCAATTAAGTACCATGTGATATTCCACAACAGTATTTAGAAATTGACTAACACAGTTGTTTTTTAAGAAATTGTATTGATGCAGACTGGCAGAAACCAAATGACAATATCAGAAAGGTATCTCCCTTCTGTGCTAGGTGTTCTCACACTGAAGCTGAATATCATGCTTGTCTTTTGGAAAGGTTTGGATACCTGCCTTGTGCATCAGGGAAAGTGATCATCGTGGACTTCAAGAAATTATACCAAGTATTTGCATGCTTAATTTGTGCTTTTAATTTAAGTGCTTGAGATATAACAACAAAAGCAATGCATACTGTTCTGTATGCATACAACTAAAATCAGTTTGAATAATTGTAGTAGTTAAAGAAATGAATTAAAGGTGTGATTTCTGTTGAAAGTAAATCTTTACCTGACAACTTGATTTAAAAGCAACCTGGAATTGATTAGCTACCTTGCTTTAAAACAGATTTAGAGTATAACAATATACCCTCCAAAGACAGGCTTGCTGCTCTGACAGACTGTGATGGTGTTAAAGGTGAGAGACTGCTGAATTAAACGTGGTTCAGCTCCTCACGTGTCTTAAGCAGATCTCCGAGCAATGGTAGGTCATTTAGTCGTGATCTATTCAAAGAGCATTTTCATTTTTCTGCATCTATAGTAATGTCAAAATCAGAAAGAAAGAAATACAAAACATCTCAGATTTTATTTGATTTTTATCTTGTAATATTGAGGGAGAAGACAGAAAAGAAATAAGCATGAGACAAACCTTGTACAATAAGACAGTGAAGGAATAGATTGGCATTGCTGGGAGGGAGAGCAGAGTATGTGTTTGGGGCCTTGGTTAGAACTGGCAAAGGGTGAAAACCAGAATAGTGAAAAAAGAAAATCCAGTAATGGGATAGCATGGAGAATAGTGGGGCTAGTTTTCTAAGGGGCTAATAAGTCAAATAAGAGACAAAGAAATATACTACCTAATGTGCGTTTGTTTTCAACTGGCACGCATTATAAAGTAGTGCCAGTCATACAATACCAAAATGTTATAAATTTTGACCACAAATGATCAGAGTACCAATTAAAATTTATTTATTGCTTAGAGATAGCAAGCGGAATATGAGGAAATGCAGCGCTGGGCGAACAGGGGGGGTCTCCGCCCCACCAACTGCCGTGCTAAAACATTGAAAAAGTCCCTTTTTATGGTTTCTTAGTTCCGTTTTCTTGATGTAGCGGTAGTACTCTTGCGTATGCTTGGGCTGTTACTAAGGGGTCTTTTCTGCCTTCTGGTGGTCGTCGAGGCTGAAGTAAGACGTCTTCCTCGTGTGTCCCTTGTTTGCCCTTTTTGTTCTTGATAGCAATTGCCTCCTTATATGGATCGTCCTTGTAACTCTAAGAACATTTGGCAATCTTGTCTCTATTGCACAGACTATTGCATAGTCTCTTGAGGTTTAGTGTACATTTTAGCTTAGTATTTTTAGCAATAGATACATCCTGTTTGATAAACTATATCTCCCACCTTGATTTATTACAAAAATTAACACAAAAACACACTGGTGTGTTTCTGCACTCAGGGTGTTAAAAGTGTCAAAACATTTGCTGGATAGGACCTCAGGAGCTCAACGGGCTGCAAATTGAGAAGAGGTGGCGGTTGGTGGAACCCCAAGAGCTTTATAACAAACCAGATCATCCCAATCCATTGTAGGGATTCTGTGGCCACCTGAAGTAGCAAATTGTTCAGAAACATGTAACGTTTTTCTGATGAATACATATATTCCTTGCTAATAAATAGCTGTACTATCTTGAGCCAGGTGTGCAATTATCCCCGGTGCATCTGGTACCATAAGAGTGATGCCTGCATCTTAATACTGCATTGATATTAAGGAGTTTTATTCCCGAATTTTGGTGACAATCACTGCTGATTCCACCAGTATTGGTTTAAAGCAGTAGGACAGCATGCCAGCTGGATGTTAAGAATCTCCAAGAGTGGAGATTCTGCAGACTCTGAGCAACCACTGCTGCAATACCCTCTGTCACTTTTTCCTGAATTCCAACTTGAATTTCCCAAGCCAGAATCTGTGAGTGTTGACCCTTCTTACATCATCTTGGAATGCTAAGAAAAGTGTCAGTTCTGTTGTGATTGAAAATATTCTTCAAGTAGCGTTAAGCTACCTCTGTTTGAATGGAAAAAATTTAATATGAATCCTCCTTTAAATCAGGAAGTAACTCCCTCAGGAATCCTATGTATTTTCTTTTTTTTAAATAAAGCTTGAATTGTGCTTATAGGTAAAGGACACATGAGACTTGGAAGTGAATAGTTTTAATAGTTTATTTTTATCTTTCTCTCAACTGAGTTTGTTTTTATTTATATTCAGCCTTATTAGTAATGCAGATGTTCAGTCCAAAGAAGGTGTTTAGTTATAAACCATCTGTGAACTGGAGTCACTACACACTTAGAAAGCTTGATTGCAAGTATTTTCAGCTCATAAAAGTAGAATTGATTATGACAAATTTATTTTTCGAACCTCACATTCCTATTATGTTACACACATTTCATGTTATATTCTGAAAGTATTTTATTTCTTTTGGTCTTCACAGCTAAAACCTTCCTTCTGACAACAAAGAAGCTAGAACAATGGGAGTGACTAATCTGTGGCAAATCCTTGAGCCTGTGAGACAGCCTGTCAACCTGAGCAGTCTCAAAGGAAAAACACTTGCTGTTGATTTAAGTTTGTGGGTTTGTGAAGCACAGACAGTTAAAAAGATGATTGGAGTAGTTACCAAGCCACATCTCAGGTATGGTATCCATATAAATTGTTGCAGCCAAAATTCTTGGAGCTGTATAATTTAGGTATGTTACTTATTCAAAAGATTTTAACATTACCTATGAAATTTGTATGATTGGGTATTTTGATTCAGTTATTGCTTATGTTACATATGTAAAGACTTTGAAGTGAATTCTAGTTAGACCCCATGCTGAATTAAATATGTTTAAATCATTCTTCAGGTATTTGAGCAACCATGAAAAAAATATATTTTTTAATTTAGACTGACCCAAGGAATGAGCATATCTAAGCATTTATAACTACACAGCACTGTTTTCTGCAAACAGTGCTGACAAAAATGAAAATATATACAATTTTTGATCAGCGACATTGATTATCTCAAGAATACTGACTGACTGGATGGTGTCACATGCTCCTGTGACTTCTGTTGAATTGGGTGTGATATGAAATATCAGCATCTTCTGAGAATAATTTCTTTATATATTACATGCTTATGACTCCAAATGGATAATTAACTATAAAGCTTGAAGCATGACTGAAGTCATTACTTCCCTGTGATAGGATGTCCTGTCTGCAGTGGAGTGGAAACATCAGTCCAGATCTCTTATGCAAGAGATCTTATGCATCTCTTTCCAAAGCAAGACAAAGGGTTGAACAGATTTCTACTAAAAAAAAAGGAAACGTTTTCAGACCGTTGGAAATTAAATCTTTTTGAGAATTTGTAGTTTAGAGTAACTTATTGTAAGAATTGATTTTTATGTCATTTATGAAAAGAGAACTAACCTCAAAAGATCAGCTTACCCTCTTTGCACGTAGCACCTGTACAAAATTAAATCCAGAGTAGTGGTCTCTCCATGTCAGTCAAAGAGACATAAATGTTTGAACTGCTCCTTTTGAAAGATTGGTCCTGGAGATACTGGAAAAAGTATATGCTGTTTGATATTATTGCTCTTAATTTTACTGTCGTAGACCAAATATTTATTATTAATGCCTTGCAAAATTCCATCCCTCAGTGATGCTGGTTTGCATATGAAATAAATTAGCATGGCAATGCTATCTGTGAGTCTGTCTAATACCACAGCATTCAGTCACTTCAGAATCTGATGCACTTGTACTGATAAGTTTAGGATTAATATTTCATATAAAACAGTCCATGTGGATATGTGTTTGGAAGCAGATTTTGGATATTGAGTGGGTTTTTATTAAACCTTTTAAATTTCCTTACATCTTTACATCCAAGAAGGATCTTACTTGTCCTTACATTGTATTTTCTTGGGAATTTTATCAAGCTGTTACAGTTTCATGGTATAACAACTTCAACCAAAGATGGGGATGTTGACAAAAGGTTTGTTAATCTTAGGGGCAAGAGAATCATAAGAGGTGGAAGATTGTTCCTGAGGTAGGCTAAGGGATATAAGGAAAATGTTTGAAGAAATCAGGCTTCACTAATAATACAGCTTTGCTTTATTGCAGAAATCTATTTTTTCGGTTCTCTTTCTTCACATCAATGGGAATTCAACTAGTGTTTGTCATGGAAGGAGAGGCCCCCAAGTTAAAAGCAGACACCATGAGTAAGAGGAATGAGATGCGCTATGGACCTTCAAAGAAAGTTGGAGCTGCCAGAACAGGGAGATCTTTATTTAAAGCCATGTTAAAAGAGGTGAGTGACTGAGTGCTGTGTTTCAGTATTTTTAATATGATAGAACCAAATTAAATACAGGAACTTGAAATAATTAATAGCATCACCTACCCCTGAAACTGAGGTAACTGAGGTTCTCGTTAATGATTTTTTGGGGCAGATTAGAGAGAAAGGACACTGAATGACCAGGGTGTGCATGTATGTGTACATATGTGTGTGTGTGTGTGTATATATACGGCAGATTTATTTTAGAACAGTTTGGTTGCAATGGAAAGGAGGTGTGTAGCTGCTTTGGTTATTATCTATAGAAATATAACAATATAAAAGTATAAAAATAACAAAATATATAAGGAGAGGAAAGAGAAGTGAGGGATGAGCGTAGATAGTGGAGAGGAAAGGTATCACCATCTGTGGATCCAGAGATGAGACTTGACTTTTGCAATTTAGACGTACGTTGTTTGAAGTGATGGTCACAGTCTTGATCTGCTGGGGATGAGAGAAGCCCACACAACAAAAATTTCAATGGGTTCATGTGCATTCAGGTTCAGGTGGCAACGCCCAGGTACCTTCCCTGGGGGGTGGAAGTTTTACACTGTATGTTGCAGCACTGTGGATTGTGCACAGTCCTCAGGTGGAAGGCCCCAGAAATGAGTCTGGGGGCCCTCTGGGGTCTTTGGTGATTTATGACACCTTCTAAGACACGACAGCTGCCTCTCACATCAGTGTAGCTGATCCAGTTATGTCCTGTCAGAAGGGATAAATATCTTCAGGCTGACCTGTGAATGTGAATGTCCCCATTCCTTCCTGGGATGGGGAGTTTTACGCCTGAGCCAGTTGTGTAAGGCAGGAAATTGATATGATAAAAAGCATTATCCCACCTCACAGGATCTGTTTCTTGTTGGCCTTCTCCCTCATCTGGCTCAAAATCCAACTTGTTGCTAAACAAAGGTTGGTTTGTCATGGTCATCCTCTGGTGGTGGGTGCACACCCCCTCTGTCTTATGCAGATCAGAGGTTTCTGCCACCACACACCCAAAAACTCTCCTCCTCCCCTTCGGTTGGGTTGTGTAATGTGGCTTCAGCAAAGCACCTGCTGCTTTTGCAGCAGATTGTTTGAGTCATTAACCCTTAACATTTCAGTCTCTCACAGCTTTATACACAACAAATTTAAACAGTATTTTGAGATTTGAGGGGACATGCACCTTTGAAGTCAAGCACTACAGCAAATGTTCATTGTTGTAGAAGAGCGACAGTGTCAGAAAAAATTTCCTCATTTGATATGTGCATGTTATGCTGGTAGTGAGCAACAGCCATAATTGAACGTTTGTTACAGAAATTTGTCTTTATTGTTCTTTTATAGTGTTAATATTGATACTTCCTTTTATCTCCCCCATTAACAATTTTTATCTATTCAAAATTTTATGAACTAGAATTTGTAGACACTCATGGCTTCAGTAGATTGCACATATCAATTCATGTTTTATTCTTAAATTCTAAAAAAATTATTTTCTCTGAAATTTGTAAGAAATATATATATCAGTGTGTCTTATACCATGGTCCAGTCTTACAAGGCTAACAGCATTGTACTTTCATGTTCAATATTCTCAGGAAGTCTGGCACCTGTTGGAAGATGCCTGGTCTAGTTCAGTGCTTGAGTAAACAATTGCTTCACAAAGATAAATATTCCTTTCTTAACTCTTCTTTTGAAAACATCCTAAATATTTATTTAAAGTGTAAAGATTTTTGTGAAGTAGTGACCATTAATCCTGCTGTGTTTAAGTCCTGGAATTAATACTTAGCTCTGTATTGGATGTTTATTTTCACTGTTAATTACAGTAAACTATTTTTTGCTAAAGTAGTGCTTTTATTGATATACTGTTCTGTAGGCAGTGCAACAGTAGCAGCTTTTATGTGCACTTATGAGAAAATGCACGCTAATAAGTGAATGTAATAACTCATCATTCAATCTCTCCTTCCTCTTGGGTTTTTTCTTTTAGTGTCTTGAACTTCTGGAGTGTTTAGGTGTCCCTTGGGTTCAAGCAGCTGGGGAAGCAGAGGCAATGTGTGCCTACCTAAATGCAAAAGGACACGTCGATGGCTGCATTACCAATGACGGAGACGCTTTCTTATACGGAGCTCAAACAGTTTATAGGAACTTTGCTATGAATGCCAAGGTAATTACCTCATCCTGTTCCTACCCTCTCTAGACTCTACAGAAATGTAAATAGAGAAGGGACTTGAAAAAATTACTTAGATATTATTGCATTTGCTCTTGAGTAGTTGGGTTTGTTTAAAATAATACATTTAAGAGAGGATCGTTTTGTTTGATTCACTGACAATTTGTGTATTGAATATGAGAGCAAAACTACTGAAACACTTAGGGTAATACTGTCTATGTTTGTAGTGCCCTGTGATGAGCTAAGTAGCAAACTTTTTTTCCCCCCCCTCTACAGCGAAGTTTTTGAGTGAAGTAATTGCTTCCTATGAATTTAGCTTTAGGCCATGTGGGAGTGGTCAGCTTCCTGGGTCTAATGAGTATTCACACACTTCCGTCTTGCAATTAATACTGCTAGTCCTAATTCAACATGAGTAGGGTAGAGATTGTACATCTGTATCATAATCAATTGTTGTGACAAAAACCCAAATAACTTATGACCTTGAACTGAAGTGTTCATTTGTTAAGAATACAATTTCCCAGAAATGGTGAAACAAAACCCTAAATTTCTGTAATTTGTAATGTTCATCAGAAAGACTTGTTGAGAAAATACTTTAGTAATGTGAGAAAATCAATAGAACAGAAAAAATGCACTTCAAACAATTAACGTCTTTAAAAGATAATTAAAGTTGATGGAAGGATTTTTGCTTTGATGATACCATGTTTTAGTATCTTCCTTGACCTGGTTCTTTTCTTTCATTTAACTTCCTTGTTATTTATCATCAACAATGAAAGGAAGCTCAGTCTTTCAGGTGTACTTTGTTTACATATATGTCAGCATAAAAAAGTAATTTATGTGAGTGTTTGTCTGTCAGAGACATCTGTTCCAGAAAAATGTATTACTTTCAGTTGTTGGGTTGTGTGGGAATTTTTTTGGTCTTTTTTGAGGAAGAGGTGTGTCCTATGTTTTGATTCATGTTAATCTTGCTTTCATGTTGTATTTGAGTCCCTTTACCATTCAGAGTTTCAAGTGTTTCTTGAGTTCATATCTAATATGCTAGGTAACATTTTTATTACTTTTTCCTTTTTTTAATCAAGTAGTAGATTGAAATTTTTACATGTATTTTAAAAACTGCCATTCCTGAGATGATTTGCACAGTCACTGGTACTCGATAATGTTAGTTTTGCCACACTTTTTCTACAGGTAGTAAACAGAAAAAACACCTTGAATCAGAATCATGGAATATACTGAGTTGGAAGGGACCCATCAGGATCATCAAGTCCAACTCCTGGTCCTGTGCAGGACACCACAAGAGTCACACCATGAGCCTGAGAGCATTGTCCTAACGCTTCCTGAACTTAGACAGACTTAGGGTGCTGTGACCACTTCCCTGGGGAGCCTGGTTCAAAGCTCCAACCAACCATGCTCTGGGGGAAAAAAACTTTTCCTGATCTCTAGCCTAAACCTCCCCTGACACAATTTCAGACCGTTCCCTGAGGTCCTATCACTGGTCACTACAGAGATCAGTACTTAACCCTTTGCTTCCCCTCACGAGGAAGTTGTAACTGCAACGAAGTCTCCCCTCAGTCTCATCTTCTCCAGGCTGAACAGACCAAGTGACCTCAGCTGCTCCTCATATGGCTTCCCCTCCAGAGCCTTCACTGTCCTTGTTGCCCTCCTTTGGACACTCTCTAGCAGCTTAATGTCTTTCTTACATTGTGGTGTGCAAAACTACCACAATATTCAAGGTGAGGCTACCCCAGTGCAGAGCAGAGTGGGACAATCCCCTCCCTTGACTGGCTGGCGATGCTTTGCCTGATGTTCCCCAGGACTTGATTGGCCCTTCTGGCTGTCAGGGCACTGCTGACTTATTTAACTTGCCATTGACCAGGACCCTCAGGTCCCTTTCCGCTGTGCTGCTCTCCAGCCTCTTGTTGCCCAGTCTATACACACAACCAGCGCTTCCCTGTCCCAGGTGCAGAATCCAGCACTTCCCCTTGTTGAACTTCATGTGGTTGGTGATTGCCCATCTCCCTAATTTGTCGAGGTCTCTCTGTAGGGCCTCTGTGTCTGTAAAGGTGTCAACAACTCCTCTCAGTTTAGTGTCGTCAGCAAACTTACTTAGCATTCCTTCAAGTCCTGAGTCCAAGTGATTAATGAAGAAGTTGAAGAGAACTGGGCCAAGGATGGAGCCCTGTGGAACCCCACTAGTGACAGGTCACCAGTCTGATGTAACTCTTTGTGCCTGACCCGTGAGCCAATTGTTCACCCATCGTGTAACATGGTTATTCAGCTGTATGCTGGACCTCTTGGCTTATTTTACTGTCTTTCAACAGTTGATGCCCATACTTAGAACTTAAAGTTCCAGAATTTGTAATTTGTATGGTGTCCATGCATTACATTATAAATTTTGATTGCAGTTTTTTTTTTTTCTATTAGACCTCTCTTATGGGATAGACCTGCTCTCTGCACATGTGAGTGAATAAGAGTGGGAATCACAACTGAATGTGACTCAGGGTAGTTCCTTCTGTTATATACCAGAAATAATACACAATAAATTCCTCTTGCAGGATCCACATCTTGACTGTTACACAATGTCCTCTATTAAGGAGAAACTTGGTTGTGACAGAGAGTCTTTGATTGGGCTAGCTGTTCTGCTGGGTTGTGATTATCTTCCAAAAGTAAGCAATATAATTATTTTTTATTAGGTGCTTATACTGTCTTGAAAAACAATAAACTGTATCAAGGGAGACATGCATGCTGACAAAACTTTATGCAACGTGCGATTAGTGAGATCGAGTTGAAGAAGATGCTTAGTAAGTCACTGTAAATTTTATTTTTGAAATGTTCAAGATAATCAAAATGGTTCCTGAACACCAATCTTTCTGAAACGGTTTTGTATTATTCCAAACCTTTTCTATGGTGAAGATGAAGGCAAAATTTTAGATGTTGATTGCATTGAGCCAAGGTGTGAGAACTCCATTGTTTGTGAGGATCCATTGTAACACGTTACATACAAGTACATCCCTGGCAGAGTAGCCTGTGCAAAAAGAGAAAAATAGCATTGTCTGTGCTGTTTAAAAGACTCAGTAGTGATAGCTTTAAGCTGTATTTATTAGAAGAGGCAGTTCTGGATGCAGTTTAGATGTATCCCTGTTCCATTGTTTGTAAATATATAAGTTATGAAGAAGTGATCTATTTGAAAGTTTACCAAATTAACTGAGAAGAATCTCACTCAGTACTACTTCACTTGTTTTTTTTTTAATCTCTTTTTTTCTCCTGTAAACTCTTGAAATATTTTTTGAGACTTTGAGCAGAAGCTGTTGTAATGGCTATTTGAAAGGGAAAAGAAGTGGGATGAAACTTTATTTTCATACAATTTGTCATTTAGGGACTTTAGGCAATGGTTGCTCCCATTCAGGCTTTCAGTGGATATCTACTTTTTCTTAAATCATTGTGTTCCTATTTGATAAAGCTGTTCTTTTAAACAACTGATACTGCTCAAAGAACACAAACCTCTCATTACTTTTGTCTGTGTTGGATTTTTTTTTTAAATCTTGCTTCTGTTATAGCAATCTTTAAATAGTTTGTTGTTGTTACTACTGTATAAAGACAGAGAGAGAGAAAAAGTGGATAATTAGTGGTTATTGTAATGAAGCAGCTCCTGGAATGCCATGTTCTTATATAGTCCCAAAGTGTCACAGTTGTGTGGTGTCAGATAGGTCCTTTGAGTTTTTGCAGCCCAGCAAAGTAGATGAAGACAGAAACTTGTGAGGAAAGCTGAATTACAGTAGTACATTAGGAATGGGGATTGGCAGAACAGGTAAATGAGAATACCACTCTATAATTGCACTTACTTTGTTAAAAATGTATGAAGATAATGGTTTCCTTGCAGAAGCTGAATATCTGACTCTTATCCGAATATCTGTCTGTAGTCCAATGAGAACTTGGTTTGGAATGTAGTTTTGTCTTATATGGTTGAGTGTATTCAGTTCTGCCATTACAGCTGAATAAAGAGAAGCATAGATTTATTTGTAATGGTGCTGTAGAAAGCACACTCAATACAATCTTTATATTCGGCTGTACTGATTCTTGGCAAAATAGGGGAAGGATGGAAAGAGAAACCATAAAGCAATATGTGTGTTTTAAAGCATGGAATGATACAATAGTTTACGTAGAAAGGGACCTCTGAAGTTCATTTAGTCTAACCCCCTGCAGTGAGAAGGACATCTTCAACTAGACCAAGTCCAATCTGACCTTGAATGTTTCCAGAATGGGGCATCCACCACCTCTGGGCAATGTGTGCCCATATTTCACCACTGTCATTGTAACTTCTTCCATGTTATCTGTAGCAGTTATTAATATAATAAGTAATAAGTCCCATGGGGACCATAGCGACACCAACGTGATGTGTAACAAGAGAGAGAGAGTTTATTCAAGGAGTCCCAGCTTATATAGCAGTTTCAAATGCTGCCACGTCACACAGGTAACTTCTTAAGCCAATCCCATACAAGCATTCAACAGAGCATGTGTGACAGAGTACTTAGAACTACAACTCCCAGGATGCTTTGCAGCACCTGGTGTAACCAGACCCCACAGTTATCTATTCTGAATCTAACTTCTTTTAGTTTATTGTTGCTTTCTCCTTCTTTCTCTGTGTTGAGAGCACCTGAGGTGCTATTGAGCATTAGAGCATTTTATGCAACTTGTGTGTTACAGTGGCAGTACAGCTGTAATCTCTCACCTTCTCTGCCATTAGAACGTGGTCAAAAATATTTTTCTCAATTTATTCTCAACGTTTGGGATCACTTTTGTAATTTGTCTACATAATGATATGAAGGTGTTTTTGGTGAAAATATAAATATTTTGTTCAAAATTAAATAATGTTTCAAATTTCTCTATAGGGAGTTCCAGGAGTTGGGAAGGAACAAGCTTTAAAGTTAATTGAGACTCTGCGAGGTCAAAACTTACTGCAAAGGTAAAATGGAAATTTACGTAAGTACTTTGATTTTATTCAAAGACTGAATAATATGTATTTCAGCTTCAAGACAACATCTGTAGTACTTTAATTTAGGAAGGGTATTTCCACATTCCTTACCTTGTGTTTGTGAAAGGAATTGAGTGTTGTACTAGGAAAGCTTCTTAATAAACATAAGCTGGCTCATAATTTTGAGTTAGCAGTTGTATGTTGGTAAATTGGAAATAAAGTCATAGGGACTGATGAGAGACTTTTTCTGATTTTTAATGGGTTATGGATTCAAGGATTTGAGATACCAAGTGCTTTCTATGTTTGTTATCATAATGTGTGTGTCAGTACTAGAAATCCAGCAATTATATGACATACTATAAAAGTAGCCTGTTCTACCCCTGTAGATTGGAAAACTGTGTTTCTTAGATAGATGCCAGAGAAGAATAAAGAGTATTTTTCAGAGTTTTAAGTGTGGAAGTTAAAAATATTTCTTGATCCTTTTAGATTTGATCAGTGGAAAGAACAATTCCAGTATGATGATAATCCACCTTTGGTTGTTAAAAGGGTAATTCACTGTTCAGAGTGCCATCATCCAGGTCAGTATGAAAAGGGCTGAATTTTATTTTTAGCCAAATTGTTTATTTTTTTCTTCTGGGTTTGGGGTGACTTTTTTTTCGTTTGTTTGATTGGGCTAGGGTTTGAGGTTTTTTTAATTACTAGCATTAAAAAATGCTTTTCAGCTTCTGGACCATCTTCACATTTTCGACATTGTATATATTTACCTTTTTATAAATACTTTTAAGGCTTGGGACCTCTGTTCTTCAAATGTGAAACTAGTTGATGGCAGATGGAATATTATCACAATGCTTTTGTGTGATCCCAGATGTTTGTCTTTTTAACATTTTCATTAAAGAAAGTATGCTATAGTGCCCAGCAGCTATTTCTTCAGTTGCTTGAATTTGTCCTGCATCAAGGGAACCTTGATCCTGTTTCCTAAGAAACCTCCTTTTGGAAGCATTTTTGATCAGTGAAACTAGCATTTGGTGAAGGAAAATCTTCCTTCAGATATATAACTTATATATGTTTGACAGGTTGTCACACACTACTATAATAGTTTTAGGTAAGGTAAACTATTACTTAGGTAATATTTTTCAGCATAAGGTCTGAAACAGTTGAGGGAAAAAGTCTTCAAAAAATGGAATCTTGCCTGTATTTGTCAGTTTTTGCTGTAGATACAGAAATGCACCTGGTGCACTCAATCTGCTTACAACTGCTATTCACATCAGATTCATATGTGTTCTCAGCTTTATATTTGTAATAGTGGCTTCATGTACTTGGAAATTTTGGAAACCCTTTTTCTCCTCACTTTGTGTATCTGCTGCTATAGGATCGTACAAGGAGCATGAGCACAGTGGATGTCAGTTCTGTGAAAGCATAAAATACTGCAAACCCAGTGACTCCAAACACTGCCCTTGCGAATGGCATCGGTTAGAGCAAGTGAAACAAGCAAGCACCGTGGAGGACAGCATCAGAAAGTAGGAATGTCTTGAAAATTGAACTGCTTTTCCCTGTATTCATGTGCAGGGTGATCATTTAGATTCTGCATCTTTCACAGTTCTCTTCAGTTCTTAACACATTTGTTTTACCTGCAGAAAAGCTAAGAGTTGTGAGGGCTTTCCATTCTCTGAGGTAACAAACATAATTTAAATATTCTTTTTTTAAATCAATTAATTGGAATTTCAATATTCTACCCTCTCTTAAACTGTCTCTTTTTTGTTTTATCTCAAGGTTATCCAAGAATTTCTTGTAAACAAGAATAAATTGATCAACATAAAGGAATGTCAGAGGCCAAATTTATTGTCCTTTCAGGTATATAGTAAAATACTGGATATTCAGCTTTGTGGTTTTTTGTTTATTACTAAGGAAGGCATTTGTGATAATTGTGATCTATGTTGGTAATTTTACTGGAAATAAGAATTAAAGAATCTTGCTACAATATCTTAATGTACATCACTGTTTTGGAAGCCTAAAATTGTAAAGCTGATCTTAATCTGACAAGGTGTTTAACAGCTGTCTCATTCCCGCTGCTGCCACTACACAACTGTTCCCTTGGCATGCCATCGACAGCTGAAGAATCTGCCACTGTTAGGGATGACTGTTGTCAGTGAGATATCACTGGGAATTACACTAATGTATAAAAGCTCTCTAGATATTTAAAGTATTTAGTCCTGTGTTCCCACTACATAACTGGCTAAGCATGATATCTAACAGAATAAAGAAAGTTTCAAGGTTTGTTTGGTTTGGTTTTTTTATACTGACAGATATTTGCTTCAGAGAAGATGGAATGGGCCAAACATTATGCTTGTAAGAAACTGTTAGCACTGTTGACACGTTATGATATGATCCAGAGAAAATCTGGATACACTGACTCGAAACAACTGCAGGCAATAAGGTAATGTAGCTTGATTTCTTAAAGTTAATATGTTGACTTCTGCTCCCGGATAAAAGGAAATATGGTTTTCTTCCATCTTTGTTTCAAGCTCTGTGCTCATTTTGAATAGAGCTAAAAATTTAGATAGGTGCACCAATTGTTATACTACTGCTTTTCACTCAGGACCACTGCATTTAGGAATATAAAAATGGCCAAGTATCCTGTGACTAAAAATGGACATGCAGGGGAAAAAAGCAAGATAAGCATGTAATTATTTTCCCACAGAATATTTTCCCACCATCCAGGCTTCTGTTAGTCAGGGATTTTCTGAATCAGAATTAGTATCTTCTTACTCTATCAGCCCTCAGTGTAATTTATTTTTTTAATAATCTAATCTTTTCTTAAACTTAAGTAAACTTCTAGAATCTAAAGTGTCTGTTGGCAGGTTTGAACTTCACTGTGTGTAGGGAATTTTTACTTATTTTAACTTTATCTGATGGTTTCATTTCCCAAATGAAATTAAAATTCCCCCTACCCCCCTAATTCTTGTATTACAAGAAGGTTAGTAGTTTTTGTATGTTCCTTGATGCTGGTCAAGGTTTTTAGACATTAATTTTGGGGGACAGGAGGACAGTCAGTAGCAGTGTGATAGTGTCTCTGCTGTGTTGATGTGTTAGTCTTAAATTACTAATTACTGCCTTTATCTGAAGATGTAATGCAATGGGAGTCTTTGAAATGTTTTAAACAAACAAAAGAAATGTTGAATCCTGATAGAAATTATGTCCTTTTTCATATTACTTAAATAAACTAGTACAGGAAAGTAAAAATGTGCTATCGCGAAAGCAGAAGCTTTTCAGAGAAGCTGTTTTATTCAGTGTTATCTTTCAAAAGATTGGAGAGACTGGTTGGAGGATGCTTTTTGAACAGATTGGCAAGATAAATTACCAGCATTTACCTTGATGAATGAATTCACTGACATTCTCTGCTTATAATACTTTCTAGTGTTTCAAAAGTTCAAAAGACAGATAATGTGTGCTCTAGATTTCTTTTGTTAACAAAATATTTAAAAATGCAGTAATGGTTCAGAAGGATCAGCGTGACATGTAGGAACCTACTAAATTTGGGTGTAGATAATGTTTTTAGAAAAATCTCAGTGACTGACTGTCCCTGCTCAGCTCACGTTCTATTCTCCCTCATGCTCTCATGCGAAAGATATAAATGACCCTGTCTGGTCATTCAGAAAGTTACTGTCTATGGCAACAGCCTTCTCTGGCATTAGTATCTTAAAATCATAGAATTGTTTAGGTTGGAAAAGGCCTCTAAGATCATCAGGTCTAACCATTGACCTGACACTGAGAAGTCCAACACTAAATTGTGTCCCTCAGTGCCACACCTACAAATGTTTTAAATTGAAGGGATAGTGACTCAACCACTTCCCTAGGTAGTCTGTTCCAATGCTTGACCACCCCTTCTGTGAAGAAATTTTTCCTAATATCCAGTATAAACCTCCCCTGGGACAACTTGAGGATGTTTCCTCGTGTCTTGTGAGTGGTTATTTGGGAGAAGAGACTGACCCCCACCTTCCTACAGCCTTCTTTCTGGGAATTGTAGGGAGTGACAAGGTCCCCACTGAGCCTCTTTTCTCCAGGCTAAACACCCCCAGCTGCCTCAGCCGCTTCTCAAAGGACTTGTGCTCCAGACCCTTCATCAGCTCATGTGCCCTTCTCTGGACACACTCCAGCACCTCAATGTCTTTCTTGTACTGAGGAGCCCAGAAGTGAACATGGGACTTGAGGTGCAGCCTCACCAGTGTCACAGAGGGACAACCACTGCCCTGGTCCTGCTGGCCACACTATTGCTGATCCAAGCCAGGATGCCACCAACCAAAGTACAGAACCCAGGACTTGGTTTTGTTGAACCTCATACAGTTGGCCTTGGACCATGGATCCAACCTGTCCAGATCCCTCTGCAGAGCCTTCCTGCCCTCCAGCAGATCAACACTCGCACTCAGCTTGGTGTCATCTCTAAACTCACTGAGGGTGCTCTCAATCCCCTTGTTCAGATCACTGATACAAAGATATCAAACACAGCTGGCCCCAATAGTGTGTCCTGGGGAGCCCCACTAGTGACCAGCCACCGACTGGATGTAACTCCATTCACCACCACTCTGGGCCCATTCATCCATCCATCCAGTTTTTTACCCAGTGCACCCATCCCAGCCATGAGCATCCAGCTTCCCCAAGACAAAGATGTGGGAAACAGCATCAGAGGTTTTACTAAAGTGTAGGCAGACAACATCCACAGCCTTCCCTCATCCCCTCCTGTAGCAGAAGGAGATCAGGTTGGTCAAGCAGGACCTGCCTTTGAGGCAGGTCAGCTGAAGATACGAAACTGATGTAGGAGTCTGCATTATGTTTATGTGCTACAGAATAGCTTTTTTATTTTGTGTAAATGCTCTTCTTAGCATTAAAAAACTCCAAAAATTTTTAGTACTCAAATCTATACCCTGGATTTTACTGTGTAGCTTATACAGAGTAGTTTACTTTTTTAAAGGTGTAGTAATTTTACTGTAACAGGAAAATGTTGTGCTCTGAATCATTCCAAATTAGAATATTGAAATACTTTTAGATAGGTTAGATATTTTTCATTTCCTGTTCAAGGTCATTAAATGGGCTTTCTCTTCTTACAGGATTGTCAAGACACGTGTTAAAAATGGAATACCTTGTTTTGAAATTGAATGGCAAAAACCAGGTAGGTCTGGTTTCTATACATTATGGAACGAAACAGTTCACAGAAAAAGATAAAAACATGCTTTAAAGAGAGAAGAGTTAGACAACACTCTGAGGCAATGAAATGGTGGTGAGATTGGAAACTGTTCTATGGAAACAGTAGAAAACATGCATCAAATTTCACACACCCTGAAAGTAAAGCAATGCTTAAGAGAAAAAGAAATCTACCCAGAAAGCAAGGGACTTGGTCTTCAGCTACTTTTTCTGGTACATGTTAATGAGACCTGAACTGAGTATCCCATTCCTTATTTCACTGTGTACCTGAAGCTGTGACTGTTTACTAGCCAGAACATTTTCTATGCTGCCAGACTCCTATCTGCAGTGAGCCCATTTGTGCCAGGAGACTGACAGAAAGAGAAAGACTTCATTTGTAGGTAAATCTCAGATATTGTAGTATTGATGTTTTTATGTACCTTTGTACTCGAATCTTTTGTTCTTTGGTTTTTCATTCCCTGCTTTGACTTGTGTGTATACACATGTCAAAAGTACATTCATTAATTTTTCAGAGCACTATGTTGATCCAGAAGATGAGCCTTTGGAATCATTTGTAGTCACAGTAGAAGAGGAGTCTTTGTTTCAGGCTGCGTATCCTGATGTTGTTGCCCTTTATCAAGTGGAAAAGTCAGAAGTTCAGAAGAAGAAGAAGAAAAGTAAGTGCAAAAGTTTGTTTCTTATGAACTTATAGGTCTTGCCAGAATACAAAAAGCAAAAGCAAAAAACATTTCTCCCACTGCTGATCAATATCATGTTTTGTCAAGATGAGGGCATGATACTTTGCTGGAATTGTGCTTTAATCTTACTATTTTATGCTTTAGCACTAGGAAATCCTAACTGTGGTTTGTATGTTATTTGAAATGCCCTTTTTGTTTTGTTTTGTTTCAGAAGGGAAAGACAGACCAGAAGAAAAGGAATTATCAAGTGCTTATGATGAAGTTAGCAATCTGCTGTCCCAAGTTAGTTTAAAATCTACCTGTGGAATTCTTTCTGTGCAACCCTCCACATCAGATACAAAACCTCCTCCCAAATATCAGAGACAGCAGAGAAGTAATGAATCAAAAGATGCAGCGTTAACTGCAGCTTCCTGCAGAACAACTGTTTGGGTGCCAGCAACAGCAGCTACTCCTCCTCTGCCTGCATCATCCTACTTACAGAGTGCTTTGGCTGACTCAGTTGTGTTGCCCTCACAACGTACCAAACATTCAGGGATATCATCCTCTTCCTCTGTAACAGCTGATCTACAACTGAGTAGTGTTGATGGGAAAGGAACCTTCTTCAGCACTTCACCAGCCCAGGGAGGTGATGACCAAAATCCAGCAGCTGACTTAACTATATGCATAAAACATTTGCATCCACTAGGTCATGAAACAGCAAGAAATAGCTCAGAATATTCAAGTGTTGTGCAGTCTGATCAACATTCTGATAGTGCAGATGATTTGTTTTCAGATGATGCTACAGGACAAATTCAGGAGTGGTCTTTAAGAGAGAGAATACTTCGGAAGACTTCCATTCCATCACCGCCTTTGTCTGAAGATGTAATGCAGCGGGAGTCTTTGAAATGTTTTAAACAAACAAAAGAAATGTTGAATCTTGATAGAAATTATGTCTCTTCTTCATATCAGTTAAATAAACTAGTTCAGGAAAGTAAAAATGTGCTATCAGAAGACTGTGCAAGTGAATCCAGCGTACACATCTGTCAAGATCAGTACAGAAAAGCTGATATCTTGGCTGAAATGATGCTAAAAGACCATAATATAAGTGGTTCAGCATCTCTAGCCCTCAGTGGGCAAACAACAGAAACACTGCATCCTGGGTGTGAAATGCTTCCAATGTCTCAAAAGCCAGCAGATGCAATTGGCTGTCATGTTAAAAAAGCATGTATTGAAAATAATTGCAAAGCTGCTTCTAAAAAGAGTGTGTGTCAGAACAGACATTCTTCTAGTGAAGACAGTGATGATGGGCACGTGAATAAAATCCTGATTTATGGGCAGCAGAAAAAGCAACTGAACCCTGATCAGTTTAAAAAAAGTTTTACAAAGAAAAAGAGTAGTGCTGTTAGTAGCCAAAGGACAAACAGTGATTCAGCCCTTATAACTAAAGGGAAGAAGACAACAATCAATTTAAAGAAAGCTGATGATACTTTCTCATTGCAGGGATGTCCAAAACCATCCTCTGTAGGGGAAGTTAATTGTTCCCCAAGTCCAGAGCAACCAATTAAAAGGTTGGGTTCTGATCCCACACAGCAAGAGAGAAGTGCTGTTCTGACTTACAGCTGGGCAGACAGTCCCCTTCCCCTGTCTGAAAGACTAAAAAGAAGAATCAAAATCAATTAGGTTTTCCATAAAATTACAATTAACTATGAACCATCAGCTCTTAGAGTTCTTTCTTGAAGTTTCTGCAATATGCTCTATCAATTTTATGTGGACATGGTGATGAATAAGAAGTGCTGTTACTCGAGCTGAAGTTTGAAACTGTTAACAAAAGTACCATAAAGCTGATTGTAGCAAGTTCCAGTTATTCAGGACACTGTTGCTTTCTGAACTTGATACATAAGAATTAAGGTGCAGCATATAAAGAAGCAGGGAGATTTATTTATGAAATAAGCCTTTTTTTTCCCAGCCAATTGTGAGGATTTTTGTATTACTCTTGCTTATATAAACAGTTTTATTAAAATAGCACCTGCAGTGTTTTGAATACTCTTAATAAGACTAAGTAATGCAGCTCTTATCAAATGGAATTCTCCATTTTGTGTCACTAACCTAATTTTGCAAGTTTTAAAATGGCTTTTCAAATCCTGCCATTCTGCTTGTGTTGACAGCCTCTGAAGGACCACACAGAGACACACAGCAGATATACCTTGCAGGGTAGCTAAGTTTATATGTGCCATGACCTATAATAAGCTGTTCTTTGAGAGTGCGCATCTTCCAAAGAGTGGAATAAGCCATAAGGATAATTCTGGTTTTGTAGCAGTCATGTATATATACTCTATTTAAGGAAATTTGATGACTGTTTAATTAAGCATTTGTAGTTTAGGGCACATTTTCTTAAAGATTGAAGTCCTGTCTAACACAATTGATAATAGAGTGAGAGTTAAGTTGCAGAAAATCTAATTATGACATTGCAGATTCTCTGAACAATATAATGTAATTTTTTTAAATTAGGAACTTGAGTGCAATTACAGTTTTGAAGGTGCTCTTCCCACCTCTTTATTAGAGAAGTAATCTTTATTCGTACACCAAAAAAATTGTTTTCAACAGCTTATTAGGAAATGCCTCCTTGTCTACATTTAAGCATTTGTAACTTTTTCTATGCACCAGTCAGAAGGGAGCACACATGTGCCAAGATATATTGTTAATAGTAGAAATTTAGAATATTTATGCCTGAATGAAAATGTCAGGTTTTATTTCATAAAGTTCAGAAGCTAAATTCCAGATGTATTTAAGGAAGACATAGGAGTCTATGGATAATACAATTAGCCAAAATAGTAGTTTCTTAGTTTCCTCTATGGGTAGACGGAGAAAATTTCTTTATAGTTGATTTTCCAAATGAGATGTGTTGTGGAAATGAGCAAAAAAATCCAAAATATTGGAAACTTATTTTCAGTTTTAAAGATGGTGTGTGTCTTTTGGAGACTCCTAAGCACTCAGCTGATGTGAGAAGGTAGCTAGAAGAGTAGTATTGTGAAGAAGAGTAACAGTAGCAGTATTATCACCTGGGGAGTGTAAATGAAGAGATACATAGCATCACACAAGGGGTTTGGGTTGCAAGGGACCTTAAGTATCATCTAGTTCCAACCTTCCTGCCATGAGCATTTCTTATGCAGTGGTCAGAAATTAAGAGATCTGAGTAGAGGGGTTTTTTGGGGAAAACATTGTTATTGGTTATGTATCATTTTTTTCCGTGCTGATAATTTTGAATACTGAGCACTGGAATCAAGAGTATGAATTTTCATTAATAAAAATGCCAACATCATGTGAATTACCTGACTTTTGTTCTCTCCCAGGGTATGGGAATGTGCTCTCTTGTTGTGGAGATGATACAATTTCACCCACGCTGTGTGAATTTCTGTGGTTTAGAGCTTTCTTTAGAATTGGGGGGCCAGAGTGGTTTTTGGAGGGATTTTTATGTGTTTTCCAAATCAGATTGGGATGACTGCTTTAATGGATGATTTGCTAAAATACTGTACCAGAATTATGACAGGTTCATATTATGATTATATCTCATTTCTGATTTTCATCATCCACATAAGATATTAAGAACTGCGGAGGAAAAAAATGTTATTGCTACTAATTAGTCTGGTTTCACAAGTACAGTTCAAGCATGAAAAGCAGAAAATGTTCAAATTTTTTCATATGCAATGCATCCTGATTTTGTTTTCTGCCACTACTTTAGAAGCAACAATAGGTGTGAAAAAAACCTGTGGAGGATGCCCTCTCTATTTAGGCTGTAGCTGCTCCTGGCAGCAAATAAAAGCATTTATCAGTGGAGGTGACTGTTGCTTAAATTAAACCTGTGATTCATTACAGAAGGGTAATTACAGATTTTAAAGTGTTTTGGTTTCTCATCTTTATGTAATTTACTCAATCTAAGGATTACTATAATTTTTCTTTAGAGCTTTTTACTGTGCTGACTGCTTTGCAACCTCTCACACTCATGAGAATGATGTTTAAAGTGAGGGGGTGTAATATAACTTTCTTCTGCAGGAAATATTCCTACAAAATTATGTTAAACTGCCTGTAAGAATAAATCAATGTGATGCATCAGCCTGATGAACCTGAATAGATTTTCATTTATCACCTGCCCTGGGCAGCCCAAATAGGTTCTATCAGGGTGCTTCATCTAAAATAATAAAAATATACCTGCTGTGGGGGTGGGGTAGGTAAAGGGCACACTGTTCTTAAAGTACTTTTCTGAAAAGTTTTCTGCACGCATACTGTTACTCAACTTTACTACTAAAGTACTCTACTAAAGAGTACTTTACCTGGTGTATCAGTCCTGATGTTGGCACCCCTCAGACTTGAATGATTCCTGTGGAGACATAGAGCAGAGCCATAGGGTCTGTCTTAGCAGTATAAATGTCATTATTTCCACTTATAAACAGTATTAAACTTCAGTTAAAGGCAGCAAATTCTTTTAGCATAGTTTAACAAAGGAAAAATTTACTTGGCATTCCTTAGGATTGTAACTCACTATTTCAGGCCCATGGGGAATCAACAATAAAGGGAAATAAATGCTGTTTACATGGAGTATATGCATAGAGAACTAGAAAAAATGTAAAAAAAAAAATACCACCTCGAGTGTCTCTCTCACTGTAATTTTTTTTATTGGCAGAGATTATTGGAATACTTATCTGTACGTGTGAAACTGCTTAACAAAAGGAAAAATTTGATGAACACAGTAAATCTTTTACTAGTTAACAGAGAAATTTTGTACTTTGAGAAGAGGATTATTTGACTCTGAGGATTTACACAGGCTTGGCTCTGTGCTCCTATGTCAAGAAAGATCCTTGGAAATGGGGTGGTGAAAGAGACTAATGGCAGCTGTTACTTGAGACAAGATAGTCTTTTCATGTCTAAAAAGGTGTCAGACCCTGCCATATTATATCAGCAGATAAAAGGAAACCGTGGTTAGAATATTACTGAGAGCTGTTATAAACCCAAGTGCTACTGCCGAAACAGTAAACTCGGCGCTAGATTTAGCGCTTTTTCCTCCAGGAAACAAAACACTTTAACTGCTTCAAGAAAACAAAATTACGATGGGTGACAGAACCACGGCACTGTTCTCTTGTTCATGTATCCTGCATTGTAGCTACTATCAGCACTGAACATAATTTAACTTAAGATTAATCACACATCAAACTTTAAAAGTTCTTTATTCACAGCCTTGTTTCCTTTCCCCACCCCAATTTCCCTTGACTGAATTTTAGAGGTTTTGTCATTTCAGAGACTGAGCACAGCTGGGAAAAGGGACATACCTTTGAAAAATGTGCTCTCTGAAAACAGGCTACCTGTACTAAAATTCCACCTAATCAATATTTAAATTTACTTAAATACCTGAATAAAAATCAATTAAGGAAAAAAAGTTAATCAGGGATATTTTTTAATGCCAAGCACTGTAGAAATAGCTGTACGTTAGCATTTGTTATTTTAATATCTAATTTTAAAATGCAATTTGTTCTACTATAAACCTCCCCTGCCAAGGTTGAATCCGACTTAATTGTCCTACCAAATATTTTTGACAAGGTTGGGTCTGTGGCAAGCTATGGGTTTTCTTTGGGACACGGTGGGAGGAACTGCGAGCATCATCCTCTTTGGATGAACTTGTGGGCAAATGAACCCCTAGATGCTGTCTTCTTCCTCCATCCCAACATCCCAGTACTGCCCTGGCAGTGACATCACATAAAATATAACAGACAGGCAAGATAGGCCCAACCCTAGAAACTGTCCAAGTTTTATCTGCTGCAAAAACATGAAATATTTGGCCCTGTTTCAGGTTGAATTCAGGCTGTCTTCCAGTCTGACATAAATGCCAGGTCTCAGAGAAGCTTTAGCCTTTAAGCCTCTCTGTCTCTCAGCCCACTGCAATGTGTTGAAGACATTTTCTTTGACTCTTCTGCACTGGAGAGCTAAATCCTCTGCTTGCTCTACAGCTGTGTGGGAAAGAGCCCTAAGCTGAGACTCAAAATCCCCAAATCCTGGAGTTCGATGGAACTAAGGGCTTCAGGAGTGACAGCCACATGCGCAGCTACTGTACAGGGGCTTTATAGGACTTTTCATCCAGACTAACGTTGTAGTTTCCCTAATTATTGAAAAGCCTCTTTATGAAATCAAACCTACCAGTCAGATGTGTGGAAGATAATCTGATTCCTTTTAGTATCATGCCTTCTTGATGGAAAGAAATCAGCAGTGGCTCTGCTGACAGCCCGCTCACTTGTGCTTCCCTAAGCTGAGATGCAGGCTGTGTTTGGCTGTCAGTCAGATCAAAAAGTATAGAGGATGTAAAGGTTTTGCCTTGAGGGGTTATCAAAAACTCGAGAAAAGTGCTGCTGATACTACAGAGAAGTTTTGGAGGTGCAGTGGAAGAGCAGGAGATGGCATAGAGCATGTATGAATCCTGAATTCCCAAGCACTCATGTTGCCATTTTTGGTACAACCTGACAGGAAAGCCCAGGGCATGCAGATCAGCACCTCTGCCTTAGTACAAACCTGTGCCTCCCTGGGGCTCCTACCATAATTTTTAGTGAGGCAAGTATTGCCCAACATCTACTCCTGCCTTTCTGTTACCTTTCTAACCTGAAAATACAGGCTTTTACAGCATGGTTTCAGGTAGTGGTTTGTGTTCTCTATGTGTTTATTATTTATCATGAGACATATGGGATTTGTAGGTGTTCTTACCATCAAGTCCAAGTGAAGGTTATGAGTTTGCATCCATGCATCTCCCAGCACCTTTGTTCTGGTCTCTACTGAAATGCCAGAAGACATCCAAGGGGATGTCACTGTTTCCCAGACTTTTCTTTGTTTACCTTTCTGAAAATCCCTAATCTTACAGATTGCTTAGAATTTGCAAGGTAGGTATTTCGGAAAAGTGGTAGCCTCATGATTTTTGTTTGTGATTTCTAAAGAAATCAACTGGTTTTACTTGATAATAATTTTTTAAGGCTACTAGTCCTTTGCTTGTTCTGTTATCTATAGCCCACCACTGAGGTCTTAGGGAGAGAACATTCCTCTTCCCACACTGATAATCTGGAGGATATAACTGTGTGAAATGGGCATGTGGCTCTGGCATTGAACATGTTTGAATTTTTACACAGAAGTGAACAAATCCATCAAGAATATTATATTCCTTCCAATAATAATGGTATCTTGCAAGGACTTCTTTGTGATAGCATATTTATCTTATAAGATACCAGCAACTGAAGCATGGGAGGTATTTTTCTCTCTTAATAAAAGACCAAATATTTTGTGCTGGGAGGACACCTTATGAATATATTTGATGAACTCAGGGTCCCCAGCCAGCTCCCCTCAGACATCAGCTTGTCCAACCTGACCAAGAGCTTTCTGCCAGCAGCATGTCCTCTTTCCAGTTCCCAATAAAGTTCACTTTGCAAAACCTCTCTGCAATTGTTCATTTAACGAAACAGAGTGATAGGATTTCCCCTTATAAATAAAGTATAGTGAATTGTGGAGGTTTATAATTCTTGTTCTTCTAGTCAACTAGATTGATCAAATATTCTATTACATCACTGAAACTATCTATAAAAAAAAGAAAAACCAAACAAAAAAAAAAAACACAAAACAACAAAACAACCAAACAAAAAAACCAAACCTCCAAGACTTAGTACCTTTTAAGAAATTAATTATGTTTTCAGAATGAGAACTAAAATAAAGATGGGTATAGCATCTATCTGGAGAGCACACAGTTTAGGAAGTGCTCATCAAAAAATTCCCCTAAATGTAATTCAAACTAAGAAGCCAGTTGATAATTATCACATAAATCACAGTCATTCATAGTTTGGCAATCAAAAAGACTGGCTTATTGTAAGTGCTCTTTTATTAATCTATTGTCACAGATTTCGCTTTAACTTTTAATAGCAACATTATGTGATCACATATTTTATTTATGGATCATTTGAAGAGTCTGTTATGCAGATATTCGGATTAGTGGGCTATCAAACCATTAGCCAAATAAATCTAAAGGTAATAAAACCCACAGGAAGATAAATGGTTCTCTTTTTCTTGTTCTTTTCAGTCAATTCAGGCTAATTTAAGTCTTTCACAGAATGGTGATAATGAAGGATTTGTTCTCAGCAGCGTTATGGCAGGTGATTTGCATTTGAAAGTTTGACACATTTATAGGCCTTTGATCTTTTCCCCCCAGCGCTTGTGCCCCTGGCCAGACACCTACACACACGTTTTACCAGGTGGAAAATTTAGGAGCAAAACCAGCTCTGAGGGTCACTCTGAAGATGTACACTAGAAAAAATAATTATACACTGTTGTGTCCAGAAAATATTCTATTCCTGAATTTGAGTGGCCTTTATATAACACTAGGAAAAAAGATGTTGAAATGTCTTTAAGAGTTTCTATCAAAATAGAGAAAGTCCTCATGGAAGATTTTAAAGAGTACAAGTCTGACAGAAAGCTCACTAACTGTAAAGATTGGCTCTTCTGTAGGTTTAAATTTATTGTAGAAAGGAACTTGCTGTTGGACACTTCAAGAATTTTGACACCAAGTAAACTTGGGAAAAGACTGGCAGCTCTGGAACCATTTATGAAAGATTATTTAAATTTTTGCTTTGTTAGAAAACAAAACAAAAAATTAACTCTCAGGGCAGGAGAGCTCTCTTTGGGCTGAAGCAGAGGCCTTGAAAAAAAAACTAGCATTACTCACACTATGAACATGTGGGAACAAAATCAAACACACAACCCTAAGATATATAAATGTTCTTAATGTTTACTACTTGACCCCAAAATAAGTAAGGAGTCTTAAGATTCAGTAGGAACATAGCTTAATATTTGAAACAATATATCTCAATGTATATCTCATGATTCTGTAATATTTAATAAGCTGATTTCTTCGCTGGATCACAATGACAAATTCCAGGTCTGCGAGCCAGTGCCTCTTTTCATTGTCATCTCAGACTTGATTCCTAAGGTAGGCTGGGTTCACTAATTAAAAACTCCCTGCATGAAATTCCTTCCTGTGCCACAAGCAAATAATATTTCTCCAAACTGACCTTTTCCTGAAAGAAGACAAAGCTTGCT